GTTTGGTCTACTTTCCCGTTTGGTCTACTTTCCCGTTTGGTCTACTTTCCCGATAGGTCTACTATCCCGATAGGTCTACTTTCCCGATAGGTCTACTTTCCCGATAGGTCTGCTTTAATGATGCGTCTATTCAGATAATCTCAGTACAAAGTACTAAAAAACCGACCTCAAAAGTTTGTGGAATTACATCTATTTGCCAAGTTTTATTGAAATCGGTTACCAGAAAGTGCGCGAAACCGGATTGACGCCCTAGTTTGCCACCCTTAGATGTGGAATATTTACTTAAAATTTAAATGAGATCACTATTGACTATTGACTTCCAGTAACATATATACAAAAACATACAGTCGAATTGAGTACCTCCTCCTTTCTTTAAGTCTGTTAAAAACTAACTGTCTACTTAATTTTGATTTTTCGAATCATGATTAACGTAAAGCAGCCATCATTATTAAAAATATAAAAAAATGTACTCCGCAATTACACAATTACAAACTGCTTTTGAAAATCTGTAAAACGGATTTTTTTGTAAAATTTTATTAATTTACATGCATAAAAGGTGGACCATTTGGACAAGTGGACCAATCGGGAACGTAGACGAATAGTGAAAATGGACCGGTCGGGAAAGTAGACGAATAGTGAAAATGGACCGGTCGGGAAAGTAGACGAAATGGGGAATAGACGAATTGGGAAAGTGGACCATTTGGACAAGTGGATCGATCAGGAAAGTAGACGAATAGTGAAAGTGGACCGATCGGGAAAGTAGACCGATTGTACCGAAGGGGAATATAGTATACATTGAAACATTTAGGAATACATAGACTTCACCTAGCTATTGAAATTATGCTAAAAAGAGCGCTGCCCTCCTTGTCATAAACAACGAATTTGAATTTTGGTAACTTTGGAGATAGTGGCACCTGAAGTTTCTTTTCTTTGAGAAATGTCAATTAAGCTGGTTTTATTTAACATTAAAACTGAATGATAGAAAAAAACCGTTTATAGGGGTTGTAGAACTCGTTTCGCAGATTCCAGATATATTAATCACTCAATTTCACTGAAAATGTCGATTACGTTTTGTTTATCATAAAGACGGCAAAACGGCTTTCTTGATGCGCAGAATTTGTGGCATTGGGGTCCAATGCTCTTTGCATGAGCTCTAGGCATTAATACATGTTAATATATGCAAAAAAAGAATAATTGTTTGTGAATAACTATAGTAGTTTATGTGACTGTTACATAATGAAAGGTATTAAAATACGAGTGTGGGTAAAAACTTCACAGTGAGTGTTTTAATGCCTAATTTTGTAGAGTTACATACACTGCTTTAGTCTTAAGTAAGTAAGTACTGCTTTATACACATAATATAAGCTCTCTATGATGTGTTCAGTTCAACCCTTTTTTTTTAATTCATAAACAAATTAGAATCGGCCCCTACCTTAGAGGATGGAAAAATTAATAGTCTAAGTCCAACTATCATATCGTTCGATATCAAGTAACGTGTGAAATTTGTTTGCTATTGACATTTCATTTCGAATAAAACTTCATCTCGACTGATATTAGAATTGAGGTCTAATCAAATTGTTTTGTTTTTCAGAGATGTTCGAAATTTGAATGTAAATGTAATATGAAGCAATAATAAACAATAATAACATTTTCACAGATAAGAAATTTGTTCTAACAAAAATAGTTTATCTTTATGTTAGTCGTAATTTGCGGTTTTCGAACACATCATAGACGGTTTATGATATGTGTGTAGAAGATAAACACTATTTTAAGTAGTCTGTTATTATCGCTTATGGATGAATGTCCGATTTTTTAACGTAATTTGATTTGATTGACTGATTTTTGCAGCAAAGCGGAAGTTGTACCGAACTTAGAGGTCCCCAAAGTTATGGTACCTGTGACCATTACAAAAAACGGCCTACAACACACCGTCCATGGTTTCGGAGGTAACAAGTTCCAGGCAAAGCGCGCTGCGGCTAAACTAGCGTTGAAAGTGTTAGCCATGTAAAATTTCTTTATCTTCTGTCATTGACTTACAAATAAATGGACGACGGGTCTAATACAAAAACCACGAAAAAAATGTCCCAAGTCAACCTATTTAAACGTAGTGACATGTAAAGGAATATGAAAAAGCTAAAACGTTGAATTTAAATTGTAATGTCATCGCAATATTGTCTAATTTTGCTTGCTTCGCTGTCAGTCGAACGAACGAAGACTAAAGCGTGAATGACGCTCTGTATACGATTTTAACGCCCTATAAGACACTGCCCTATCGGACACTTTTTAGCGCGGACCCGACTTCCATATAATTGTAAGTCAATGTGTTCTGTATATTTTTTTCGTCAAAAAATTAACACTTAATAGAACTTTTACTGTCAACATGGACAATGACATGTATTTGAAAGTCAATACTAGAGTCATCATTTTAGTATATAAATTATTTGTCAACTTTTTACATATTCTATTTAGTATAAAGCTAAAAAAATAATATTTTTTTATAAATGTTCAGGATTTTACTTTCATTTGTATTTATACGAGTAGAATTCTTAATCTTTCAAAATTTTTTGGTTTCCATACTTCAGGGGTATAAAAGGAAACCTCCTGTGATATTGATTTTGTGACTACATTGTGATTAGGTTTGAAATGTAATTCGAAAGAAGTTTATACGCCTATTCATCTTAAATACATAATAGAAATAGAAATAATATTTGTTGATTTGCTAAAATATATATTGTATTATGTAATATTAAGTTTATTTAATATTACGATGTTTTATTACCATGTAATTCAATTTTTTTTTGTGAAATTACTTTACTAGTTTTTTTATAATTAACGTCGAACACAAAGAAAAAATCCTTTGATCTTTTTTATAATATCAAGTGACGGATCGAACAAGCGTGCGCCTGGTAGTAAGCGACACGCCTGTCCGTAACAGCTGCAGTACCCAATACTCAGTGCTTTAAATTATAAAGATCTCAGGGGGCACTGCCACTGCGCCCGTCACTCTAAGGCGATTAACACACTGCACCGCGCCCCGCGACGGAGCGCGGTACTGAAGTACCTCAGTTTCTATGGAAAACACGCGCCGTCGAACACATTGACAACGCTTCTCCGCGCGCGCGGTTTTACCGCATCCCAGCGCCGAGAGGCGCGGCGAACCGCAGGGTATGGCACACTGCATTCCGCAATACCGCGCAGATTTTTAATCAATTTGTGTCTATTCCAGTAATTGTCGTTCGGATTTTCCCTAACAAATAATCAAAAGATTCAGTTGACATACATGTGTAGTTGAAAAATTTATCTTGTTTGAATCGGTGTCTTTTTATTTGAGTAAACAAAAACCAAATAGACAGTATAACTGCAGCGTCCTGAATGAGTGATGTAACTATGCTTGTCAAAGAAGGATCTCAGGTACATGTAAATCACTACAGCGATCAACTACGAAGCGAGTACTTTAAGTGGCGCGGGGCCGTTAGACGGCTGCCGCTCACCGTCGCGGGGCGCGGTGCAGTGTGTTAATCGCCTAAGACATAAGTTGACAACTCCTATGTGCTAGTAATTTCAATAGCACCCTTACCCTTCAAAACCGGAACGCAGTAATGTGAGCATTACTTTAGGTGGCAGAAATAGGTATGGTGGCAGTACTTCCCTGGACGAACTCTTTCACAAGGAGCTCTACTGCTACCGTGGCTGACACTGTCTTTACAGAGCTACGAAACGAACGAACAGACCTTACTAATTTCTCTATGTGTTTATTTTTGTTTTAAACACTTTTGCCTAAGAAAGTTTTGTTTTATATGTAAAAGTTCAGCTAAATTTATAGTTACCGTTTAATTTTTTCTATATTATGTATAGCACATTTGAATGTAATACAAAAAGCGTAAATTCTGCAGTTGAAACGTTTATTTCTTATTGTAAGCATGAGTCCTCGTACTCGTCCCGATACTTGGCTATTTAGATTTTTGTATTAAGACTGCATGTAATGAATAAACTAGAGTAAATTAGGCGAACAATAAGAATTTCATAAGGAAAATAAAATGTATATGAACACGAATTGTTAAGTGAAGAAAAAACATCTTGCTGCTGTCTAACCTGACCCTAATCTATTAGGGCCTGTTTAGACAGCAAGCGTTAGGAAGATGCGACACGAGCTATTTTGCTGACGCGCGTTGTTTCAACGCGCCGTGTGGCCTATTATTCTGATTTATATGTAGTACAGCGCAGTTGCGACGACGCAACGCTCGTGTGGCATCTCCCTTACGTCGGTGCGTTCAGTGCGCGTAAAAATTGTCATCTGAACCAACCATAAGCTGAGATTTAAAAATCGAACTTTCAGTTCGAATAAGCAAGTTTTTCATATTTACAAAACTGACTGCCTAAGTTGCTGCCAACTTAGGCAGTGCTGTTGATCAATAGCCTGGAAGTAGTTTATGTTATCTAAATGACCGTGGTTATCAATTAATTCCTCTTTAATATAAGTAGTCAGTTTTTTCTTTGTAATATTCAATATTTTTCTTTGTAATGTTGACCATGACAATCCCGTTCCTTTCTACATAAGTTTTGTTTATAGCGTCGAGTATATAACCAGAAATAGACACGAAATAAGGGCCATCCGTCCCTGGTTACTCATCAAGTCATCAGGCAAATGGGCCTTATATCACTTTTAATATCAACTCTCGTTTGCACTGAAATCACAAATTAGAAAGCTGAAATTTTACAGCACCAACAACTAACCTGTGTGTACGTCTCCGTATATTCCAAAAACATTCTGTATTTATTGCAATAAGATAATATCTCTAACAATGGGGGCAAATTCCATTCGGTGGTGTGGGAAAAACAGCAAAACATCTAATTAAAAAACAAACTGAATCACTTTTCATACAATCGTAATGATATATTAAAATATTTAATTTTCGTCCATTATAGCATAGCTCAAGTTAAACTGGTAGATTTGAAGTGAAACAATTGTCGACATTTGTCAATTATTTCGAATTAGTTTTCAAACGCCTCTATTTCTGGTTATATACTCGATGGTTTATTGTGACCCTCCCTACCGACCCTAAGGGTATACGAGAAGGGCATTATAACCTGTGCAACAAATCCGCACAGAGACCATCTCGGTCAGATCCTGACCCCAGATCAGCCCATTTCTCAAAAGGCTAGTGCCTTGGATGAGCTGCCCTGGATGCAAGTACACCGCCCTTCCTATTGTCCAGATAGGTATCGAAGCTGTTGCATTGCACAACTAGCGGTATATTGACCATGGGTTAAAATTATTTTCTGAACTTTGACAAATATGCGCGTCAATAGACGGCATTGGGTGTTACATAATTTATAAATTAACGCTTGCCAATATGGGTAGATGGCGCTAATCCTAAACAAAATAAAAGAATAGCCGGCAGTAGGTATCCATAAAAATACGTGACTTAAGTGTCATCTAGTTGATTTCTTTGTTATCACTAAAAATTATAGAGTAGCCTTGATAAATTGCAGCTCGTCAATGTAAAACAAATTAATTACAAAAATAGCTATTTGGTGCTCGCCCGGACGTCTTGTATACGAATATGTACTAAACCTACATACCAACACCCGACTACGTTGTCTTGTACCGCGGTTAGCATCTTATTATAATGTTGAGTTATTGGTCCATCCTATAACGTAAGAAATGTGTGCGGTTCGTAGCAAGTGGAAAGCTGTTGTCTGTGTCTACGCGATGGGAAAACGGCGTGAAGTGTATGTATTTATTATTTGTCTCCCGCCTGGGCTCAGGATCTCCTCTAAGGGTGTTTCAAGCTACGCTGGCCGAATGCCAGTTGTAAGTTTTAGTAGTAATAGCATTCCGAGTTTTGAAAAGTTCTTATAGTATAGTGGCATAGAGAAGATTTGTAAAAGAGCGCATACTTTGTGTATCCAAAGGACGTATGAATGTAATGTTAAAAAAAATTCGGAAACGTGTATTTGTTTTGTGTACTTGTAACGTGTATTTCTTATTATATGCATGAGTCTATTGCGCTCGTCTCGACGATACTCGAGATCGTTTATTTAGGTTTTGTAGTAAGACTGCATATTATAATAAATAAGTGAATCATAAGAATTTAATAGCCAACATTGTTGACTGTAATTTAGGCTATCGTTAATGCGAAAAACATTATAATGTATAATTTTATTGCATATTTTGACATTTCACTTACTAATTTATAGAAACAATTAAATATCGAGTGATAAATTAAATATTTTGGAAGAGTAAAAATACTAGTCTACAAATTATGTCATTAGTATTACTTTAAAAGACTGTTTTTGGCTAAAGAAAAAATATTGCAGATGGGCTGGGATAGATAATTTTTTCTATCAATGTTATTGATGTATTAGATGTGTAACGTAATTGGTAATTATAATACAATTTTCTTCCAATACTTGTTTGTTTAAATTTTTCACCACAACTACACCCCGGACACTCCATACAATGGTCGAAAATTATTTACCTACTACTACTACTACATACAGCAAGGCGCTATCTGCACACGCGCAAATGTGTGCGTCAAGTGGCAGGGTTACCCATCACTTTCCGGCACTATTACGTTACGTGATCAGAGCCGCAACATAGCGAAAATGCTAACGCGAATCTATTATTTATGATTATTTTAATAGAATCCAGAATCCTAATAATTACACAGGTCTATTTATATCGATATAATATCATATATTTTTCATTAATTCACTGAATAGAGTAATATTTAAGATTTATTTAAAAAATATATTAAAAGCACCTAAAATGTTATATTTTGGACACGTACCTTTAAATAAGGTAACCAAGGTATTTGAAATTGCGTGTCCAAGTTCATCATCATTAATTAAGTGTATTCGCTACTTACGTAATATTTATCGGCACTATGAATTGAAAATTCGAGAACCCTTGTCAACTAGCTCACGAAGTCATGGCGCCTCATTATATTGATATAATAAATCTGTATTTTTTATACATATTACTCTGCAGTAAATAAACGAAGAAAACAATAACTGAACAAGTCTCAGGTTCGTATTCTAGAACTCTCCTCAATGCTCAAGTTAGGACTTAAAGCACTGCAAATCATACTCAAGTCCTTGCCATTAGGGTCGTATTTCCAGTGCTTGAAATCATAGGGTCGTATTCTAGAACTCTACTCGATGCTCAAGTCATGATTTGAGTATGGCTTACAGCATTCGAAATCATACTCAAGTCCCTGCCATTAGGGTCGTTTTTCCAGTGCTTGTGTTGCCAGTGCAATCCTGACTCGAGCATTGAATAGAGTTCTAGAATACGACCCATACTCATGTCTGCTCAAATCCTGACTTGAGCATTGAGTAGAGTTCTGGAATACGATCCTCAGACAAGTTTTTTTACTTACCTACTTCGATTCTTCTTTCGAAAAATGATGATAAACAGCCGTACACAGCACAATTCACGACCATTATAAATAGTAACGTAAAATGATGTTTTATATCAACGTACAAGTTTCGTAATGAATAAATGAAAACTATATTCAAATATCAAAGCCGTCTTCAAACGAAAACGGCTCGCCGCCCGGCAGCCTTGTCATCTGTCAATGTGACCGGCCACGTGCGGGGCTTGGTGCGGTATCTAAAGCTAGGGAGGGACTTCTCTTTACTTTTTGTTCTCTGCCGCAACCCCAGTGTATTAAAGGTCAATTTAATCTCGTCCATTTCGTCTCGTTGCGTGAGAAGGTGTTCAGTTGTTAAGTCTAGGTCTTTTTATGACAAGGATGGTGAACTTGGGTATTGTTTTTATTCGCTTATTATTAATATTTGGTCCATACGAAACATTTTGTAGAGGTTTGCACCTCTATACCACAGACCACATAAATTTCTTCCGTGCTCTATACCTATTTCGTAGATGCTTGACACCACCTTGACACCGCAGAGCGTTTCACATTTCACGCGGTTTCGCCGCCAACTATAGCTGGGGGAATTCCCGAGATTGTGTCTCTTACGTTACTTGTGAATCTTCCGGAAGTTTTTTGGCTCGTATCTAATTTGTACGTTATATATTATGTTATCGGCAATGTATGTAACCCGAAATCTGTTTTAGCCATTGTATAGAATACAATACCTAGGTATACTATACAATGCTAAAGGCCCATTTAGATGGAGAGAATTTATCGTCTCGAAGATACGACTATCGAAAGAATATAAAAAACTTTCCTCGTCTAAACATTTGCGATTATCGACCGTCCACGTGAGCGATAATCGCCTAGCCTTTCAATATTGAACGTCTCCGTGTAAACAGAACTCGAAAGCAAAAATCGTATTTCGAGTTTCTGTGCCAGCCGTTTCTACCACGAGTGCAGTGCGCGAGGGTGTTTTGATTATCACTGATTTTCTAAGACAAGAATTAATGAAACGAGAACGAAAAATAATTTGGATTAAGATATGTTATAAAATTTGAAAAAAAAAATGTATATTTCTCTACAATGCAATGAACTTAATATTATCAACAGTTCCAAATTTGAATGATTTTTGCGTCATTTCGATATGTCCACAGTCAATACCGCAGTAATCACTGAACTCGAATGGCGATTCTCGCACTCAAAACGATTCGAACTGATTTGTACGATAATCGTATGAACTTGAAAAAATGTCATACGAGATCGTGTTTAGACAAGTCGAAAACCCGTAAGCAAGAATCGTAAACATATTTCTCTGTGTTTGGGCCTTACAGCCGAGGAGGCGATTAAGTTGCTTGCGAATCTAGTATGACATAACCGTAGGCGAGATTTTAGTTCTTGCCTGAATGTGAACATTATGATACGATAATCTCATGGCGATTATTGCTTAAAATAAACGATAATTAAATTCCTGCCCCGGAACCTGCATCTTGCATCGTCGTTATGAAAAATAAATAGGGACTGTAGCGGCCACTTAGTTCTAGTGTCCGTGGATTAGTAGGTCTTCATATATTTTTATGAAACTACCGGATAACTGGTCATCACCAGCGCAGTCACTTCTTCGCCTTACACATTTGCTCCGCAAGCTTTCGGGAGATATTGACAAAGGAATTTTGCACTATTTATATATCTACCAGAATCGCCACTGTCAGCGATAAGGTTAGCAGCTGACCGTCAGGATGGCTGGTCGCCTGTGGCGTTTGGCACTGCGTGTATGTTCAAGAATTGCTACCTTTTCTAAATAATTGCTACCTTTTATATATTCTGAGAAATTTAAAAAAATAATTGACCAGCCATTCTGATATCAGGATGGCTGGTCGCCACTTTGTTCAGCAGATTTTCCTGAAGTATGTATTACCAATAATTGCTACCTATTTGCTACGTTCACGAATTAAAGGCGTACGCTTCTTATCTACATTAGTTGAAAAAATATAAACGATTGAAAATTTTACGATGAGTGTTACCCTCTAATGCTCGACATAATGAAACAATTACAAATTCTGAGGCCACATATGGGTGTTATATTTATTATTAAAATGTACAAAATATATATAATGCTCTTTGTACTTATATAGGTATATATAGAACCGACTAGGACCTCGCGATTCAATAATGGCTACCGCCGAAATAAGTTTATTTAGTACTTGGTACGTGGTGTAGCGGGTATCCGCAACTCGACGTCAAGGCGCCAATTTTGCGTGGACAGTAAAACATCGTTAAAACTTCAAAAAGGCTAAATCTGGTTTTTTTCGGCTAGAACCGACTAAATCACGATTTTTTTTAGTGCAGATCTAAGCTTATTGCTGACAGACTTTTCGAGAGTGAGGAATGGTGCTGCAGGAATAAACTTATTTCAGGGTGGATTGTAAAGCCGCAGGATCCCATTTCAGGATCACACGTAATATGCACAAAAAATGTGGTTAATATTGAAATGAATAATAAGATATTTATTCGCTCTTACAAAAGGAAGGTTGTATAATCCCAGATTGATTTTATTTTAATTAAACTACAAGTTAACTACTTTAAGCCAGAGACTGGAGTCCAAATTAAACCTGTGTTACAGATCTCCAGACTCCCACAAATCGGTTTTTTTTTGTAATTAAAAGAAAATACGCTATAATAATATAGTAAACAATGTGGTGAAGAGTGTTGGTCTGTATGCGCATATATATGAATATAGTGAACATGAATATAATACAAAAGCTTTCTGTATATATTATTGTGTACAGCTTAAATTAAGCATTTTTAAGGTTAACTACAGTCACCAAAATGCAAAGGTACTCTAAAAATTAAAGAACCAACTTCCCACATTACATGGATTTTATTATAATAGTGGCGTATAATAAAATTACAAGAAATATGTGCTTGGTCGCTTGAATGCAAAGGTGTTAAGCTTCTTGTAGTGATGCACACGTTTGGGCAGCGGGAATCTGATGGTGCTGTTGTGGAATTGTTTAACCTGTGGCCGGCGGCATGCCGCTGCCTTGATTACCTCCACTTTGATGATCTGGAATAGAAAACAAGACTTTTAAACTAGGGAACAACAACAAGCACACAATGATACAATGTGCGATAGATGCAGGTGTAACCAACCATTATCGGCTATCGTCGCAAATGTTCGACCTGTGTACAAATTATTGCTCAGGTGGCGGTACATCAAAGAGTAACATCGTACTGCGTAGTCGGACTAGCGTTATTAATTTCGACTGTTGTTCTCGGTGTGATTAGACGCTTTAACTAAATCATGGAGTGGACAAAACAATGTAGAAATTTTTAAACAACTTTGAAGCTGGGCCCATTTATATGGGATCCAAAGAGTGTTCACCATAAAAACCATAACTGTTAGCATACATGTAGAAGTAAAGATAAATCTGAAAATTGAATTGCAGCCATCTTGGACACGACAATTCGTTTAACATTACGAAGCTGCTAATGTGACCACCGCATTGGCGCAATAACTTTTTAGAGCAAAACATACGAAGCATCATGACAATAGACGCAAGTGCGGCCACAGCATAAAAGGTTTGTATAATTAAACATTGCAATAAAGAGCCCATAATCTTGAAACTGTCATGCATACATGGATTGTTTGATGTGGTAGATCTTGGGTCTTAGGTCTTTAAAATTAAACCTAATAGAGTAAACTCTAGTAGGTTCATAAATGAACTACAGCAATAGCTGATTAGGACATGTAGGTTACAATGAATATTATCTCTGTTCACCTGTTAACAATGCTAATCTAATAAGAAACACTATGAAAGTATTTTACAATAACAAAGTTGGGGTCTATAAGTCCAACAATGCACAAGCAAGATTTATTTGGTGACACAAACTATAAGACTATAAAGTTTATGTAATAGTAATTACATAATTGTGGAGAAGAAACTGTCAGAGAAACCTACATACTTGTTAAGAAAAAGCATAAAAAAACACATATGTCTATACACATTGAGTAGGCTTTAATGATTGTCACAGTTCATTATGACTGTGATTACAAGTGTCACTTTTAAGAAAATGAACTGTCAAAAAATACCTGAATTGAGTGGGCACGTGCTCTATGCCTAGCACCCATGTCCCTGTAACATTGCGTGACGGCGCCACCCACGCTGAGGTCGCGATATTCACGGTACATATTATGGACGCCAGACCGAGACTCATAGCGCAACCAGATGCCAAAGTTCTTAATCTTCACTGGGCTCTTCTCAGGGATTTCCTACAATGTTTAACAATGAACAATTTAATTATTAGTTTTAAAACAATACTAATAAAAAATAAAAATAAACAAAGTATTTTGAGTTGTTCCTTCTGATGTCAGAATATGTGAAGAGAATGCTAAGGTTTAATTAGTCATTACCAGAATTTAAAATACAAATGAATTTTACTTATGCGCTTTAAGACTAAAGCTTCATTTAAATCAATATATCGACAGACGTCGATATATTGATTTAAATAAATGATGTTGGGTTCTTTTTGTCTTATGACACCAAGTGACGGGACGAATAAGTTGTGTGCTTAGTGGCATACGACTCATCTGCCTACAACTGTTGCAGTGTCACTCAGAGCTTGCTCATGCACTTTAATCTGCCAACCCTAACTTTTAGGGCTCACCCCAAGTGGGTTTTTGTTCATATTATGAATTCCATGAAATATCCAAGACTCGTTTCAATATCAGGCTAGATATACAAGTTGTTATGAAAACCAATCAGTTCATTAACACAAAACACAACATACATAGTACAAAATATAGGAATTAATAAAAGCTATATCAACAAACCTTGATAGAAACAATTTCACCAGTGGTCTTCTTGAACTTCTTAAGTTGCCGCAGGAAATACCAAAAGCGGGACTTGGCGACAATAGGATCAGGGGAGAAGATCCTCATTTTGTAAAGAGGCGGCTTGGGCTCGCTCTCCGATGGGAGCTTGCGGCCAATCACCTCGTATTCCTTCAACTGAAAATAAAATCATTAATATTTTATCGAGTAATATAGATGTATAACAAGTTATAAAAAAATGAGAAAGTTACACTGTAACACATCTCTATAGCTCTAAATATGTAATAATTAGCTAAGTGTACATTTCCTTAATTAATCGAGCAAAGTACCAAAATGCCTCTAACTTGACATAACCTCAAAATCTGCACTATTTATTCCCGTAGCGGCTAGCTATTTTAATGTGACAAATTATGCACCGAAATGAGGACAAAGTCTTGGAATTCAATATAACACTTTGAAACACTCAACAATTTAATGAAAGCATAGAGGTTATCACACGCATATCCAGCGGCAACGTGTATAGTTTACACCAACCAAAGCGGCATAGTAGTTTTTACGAAATCCACTGTACGGTGATAAATTACTCTTAGCTATTGTATTGACAATTAACATAAATGTCTGTTTTCACTTATTTACCACGTATTTCACAAAACTTACCTCTCCTTTCGCCTTCATTTTAGGAGGTTTTTGTCTGAAAGAACAAGAACTGTCAAAGGAAACGGAACACAGACTTAAAAGAAAGATGGCGTCAAATGTGTTGCCAATAAATACAGATTCAAATGAAAAAAAAAAATAATAATTATACTTAAAAAAATCCCTTCACGTACGCGACCATGTTTTCCATCCTCCAAGATATCACGATATAAGATCATTAATATTACGTTTATATAGTAACCAAATGTCAACAGACATTTAATTATAAAATGTCGAATGATCGGAATGACACACCGGGTAACACCATCTTTATCATCTTTCTTGGCGAAAATGTTGGTTGGCTTATGTAATTAATATCTTCGTTACTTTTGTAGCTGATTTAAGTTGACCCAGTAGTGTGCGCCAAATACAACGAATGCCGGGCGCGGGCATGAAACTATGCCATTATTCTATATTATCAAGAGTTGGTTAGCCCTTTGATTCCATCACAAAAGTATAGAGCACGTAACTATGAAGCTTGGAATGAATATTACTCAAACAGCTGAATTAAACAACTGTTAAAGCGTTAACATTCCACACTTGTATTATTTTGTCAAAACATATCAAATAAATCATGCGTTTAACCTTTATTTTTCTCCATGGTTACGTGTGGTTACCGTGCGACATACGCGATGACGTGACAATCTCAGTACAGACTTTGCAAGTGTACTACACGTGCCCAATGTAAGTGACAGACATGCCACTTTAATTTATTTTAAAAACGATTATTTTGATTTTGTATGAATTTCGAGAAAATAAATAATAAATAAGGAATCGAGTGTACTTGATGCTGAAATATATCATTTGTGATTCTTTGTTAATAAGTCATGAATATCGAACGAGCGCTAATTTTTAACCGACTTTTAAAAAATGTGGAGGTTCTCAATTCAACTGTATGTTTTTTTTGTATGTATGCTACCCGATAACGCCGGCCATTTGTGCACCGATTTTGATGATTCTTTTTTCGTTGGAAAGAGGGTACCTCCATTAGTGGTCCCATTTAATTTTGAAGGAAACCATCCACCTCTAAGAGTGGTTGTTCACGCATGAAGACTCATTTTTATAAATAGCACCTAAATTTTACTACATATAAGAAGCAATTATTTGTAATAGTTGATTTTGCTATTTTCCAATTCATGGCGTATTTCTCTCTCAATATTATGTACTTCAGTGTTACGGCATTGAGAACCGATTTTTATTATCTCCTGTGATAAGTTCCGTACATGGTCCTAGACCGAAGCCGGTTTTTGTCTACATTGATTCAAGGATGTATAAGCTTCCAATCAAGGAAATAAGTTAACTTAACTGCTAGTCGTCCAGGTCATGGATGTAGGCTGGTGAAGGTGTACATAGCCCTTATTATATGTTTGTACGACAAAGCCTATCCACATTGTTGAAACACTGTTGTAACTGGTTGGTGACTTGACAAGCAATAATTATTTATTTGCATTGCGCAGATTCATCGTAGACAATGATCTATCATTTGTTGATGCTTACAACCACCTTTCGAAATTTTTAAAAAGTAATTGTGATTCGCTGTCCTCTGAGGTTGCCAATGAAGAAATAAATTTCTGTTTTATTCCAGCTTATTCGTCACATCTCAGTGGTCCATGAGAGACTGGTGTGAAGTCGACCAAATATCATTTACGTAGAGTGTTGGGCAATTGTAACTTAACTTTTGAAGACCTTTATACAGCACTTGTCCAAATTAGCATGTAACACGCATACACTCATCATAGCCCCGCACTAGGGAAACCCTGTGTCGCGGGTACCATGAACACTCATATAGACAAAAACAAATTACACCCAACTCACGAAGGAAATAAATGTATGCCATACAAATATTTCTCCCAGCCCGAGAATCGAACCTGGGACCTCTGCATGGCCGACAGCCACACAGAGGTCCCAGGTTCGATTCCCGGGCCGGGAGAAATATTTGTACGTCTAATCCGAATATATAAAAAGTATCAGCTCTTAACATAAGAAAAATAAAGTCGTGACATTTTGCAAATACTTGCACACTCTTTATTTGGGCTACTCTATGAAACAGAACAGCTGAGCGTTAGGTGGTTAGGCAATTGAACTCCCGCGTGTCAAGCCTTCCAAGAGTGCCTACTATTAAAAATGATTCTATTTTCCTTTCACATCTTGCTTATAGGACAGACAAAACTGAGTCCTAACCTAACATCAATGTAAACGCGAGGCCGCTACGCGTTTCAGTGTACCAGGGTTTAGGACTTAGGTTGATCTTGAACTCAACTCATAGGACTTGGGACATTTAATAATTTTCCAAAACATTGCATAGGAACTATTTAAAAACAAAACGGTGAGACTAAACCATATAGTGCCTCCGTGGTTGAATGGTTACCATGCCGGACTGCCACGCAGAGGTCCCAGGTTCGATTCCCGGGTCAGAAGAAATATTTGTATGGCCTACATTTATTTCTCTCCTGAGTTTGGGTGTAATTTGTAGTTGTCTATATGTGTGTTCATGGCACCCACGACACAAGGTTTTCCCAAGTGCGGGGCTATTTTGAGTGTGTGCGTTATTATTATATTATTATTATTATAGTGCATAAAATCCATAAATTTTTAATAGACCTAGGGATTTCTTGAACCGGGACGAAAAAGATTAGTTCACGTAGTAATTTTTTTAGAAATAATTGGTCACACTCCCTTTTAAAAGTCAATGTCAATGTCACGACATCGCCGCATTATAGATAGTTTTGGAGGTTGTAGCTGTACCTATCTATAAATTAGAAAGATATAGTAGGGTTATTTACTACGAGTATCTTTCTAATTTGTAGATTGTACGGTATTGGTAGAAAAGAAACCTTCCTTGCCTGCCAAAATAAGTGAAAACTTTAAAAAGTTTTGTTTTTTTTTGCGCGAGATGCGGGGACAAATTTAACTGTGTCTTTTATTTTCTAACGGTTCTGTAAATATCTGTATTAATTTTATTGTTGTCATTTTCTGAAAAAAAAAAATGTTTGTGAGGACTGTACGTCGCTGTATTAAATATGGACTATATGGTGGGGTCGCTGCAGGTTGTGCAATGGTTGCGACTGTGCGATTACAGGATCGGGATTATAATTCTTTTGCTGTTGTAAGGCTTTCTAGAGCAGTATGCACAGCTGTAGAAATAGGGAGGACTTATAACAAGATGTTGTATAGCAAGGAATGGGATCGCGAGTCTAAAGAGTACTTTGAGGTTAGAGCTGAAGCTCACCAAATTTGCGCGGAGAAATTACTCGAATTGTGTAAGGCAAACAAAGGTGTATATGTGAAAGTTGGTCAACACGTTGGCGCGTTGGACTACTTACTTCCGAATGAATATGTAATGACAATGCGAATTCTACATAAGGATGCTCCACCAAATGATGTCAAAGAGATATATAAAGTTATCAAGCAAGATTTGAAAAAGGACGTAAGTAACCGCACTTTTGTCATATAAAACTTTGTGGTAACAAAGTACAATTAAAATTTTATTATTTTTTTTTATTAAATGATGTAGGTACCTAAAATATTATTAATTATGATAAATTACATAACAACTTCGGGAATAAATTAGAATCTAGATACCTACCTAAATTTACTTGATTAGAATTGAATCTCGAATCTTGTGGCTAGGTCAAATGATGAAGAAACAAACGAACAGTTCACAGTGCAGTGATAAAGGATCATTCCAGGTCACATGTTGTAAACATTATGTTGATTATTATGGCGGAATATCTAGTTCCAATGACATAAGACTCAACTTTAGCTGATGTTGATTTTGACATTGGTGTTATTTTTGGAGGTAAACATAGTGAAAAGGAAGTGTCTTTATTTTTAGGAAACAAAAGGTTGGAATAAATATTTTTTAATCCAAGAGAATCTAAGCTCAAAAGCACATTTGATGTCAGTGCAAAAATTGTCCTATAAAATACCAGTTTTTTGATGTTAATTCAGTTTATTTATTTCTTTTTTAGCGCAATTAAGATAATAATGCAATAATTTTGCAATAAAATTTATTTAAAATAATACTATTAATTTATTTATTTATGTATATTCGTGTATGTTGTGTGTAAGCGTTATTATTATTATTATTATGTATTAAACAAAAGCCTTCAACAGATTTTGTTCTTCAAAACTTTTCTTCAAAAACTATTTTATTGAAGTGAATAATGTGACCAATAAAGGTAGGAATAATATAGTAAAATTAAAATGTTTATATTTAAATTTAAAAAAAAATTAAAAATAAACAACATTACAGAACACTGCATGTCAGGAATGTTCTTATTTTGAGAAGGTACGTGTCAGTAATGAATTTTTTCCACAAAAAAATGGGTATGTTTATCACCAGGATAAACATCTATCATCATCTTCCTCATCTAGCGCCCATAATGATAGTCTGTACGCCACCGAGGTTGTCATTTTATTCACAAATTATTGTCTCATATATAAAGAGTGTTGATTTGCATTCTCGCCATATTTAAGAAATTAATAATAGAAAATGATGCTAGATCATCTAAAAATGGGTCATTCCAGCAAAAATAACACTGCAGTTCAAAAAAATAAATTACACAATTTGGTTTTAATTGTATGACTAGAATACGCCCAATAAATCAAATCACTAGAAATAAATGAGATTTTTCGGATATTGTACAATTATTGTATTTTTTGTCTTCTATAGTGAAGCATTTTTTCTTATAATGTTAACAGCAATTTTCGCGGTTATGTGTGCGTCTTTCTAAAAAAGTTATTACTGTCGAAGAAAATACAATTTATGAATTTTAAAATAGTGATAAGTGTTTGCATGGAAGTATATATGGTGAGGAGTTATTAAAGTTTCAATAAATACTAATTTCAAGTCCCACCTGTCACAATGAAACATATGTACTTTTATTTTAATTTTAATAAATATGCAATTTATTGGAATTTACTTTTGTAAAAGTAACAATTATGTTAAGTGTCATTATTTTGGCTTGGTTGCTCATTGTGCACGTAAATAGGAATGTAAATATTAAGATTTGAAAGTGTGTCCCACCCGTCACAGCGATGGGTGGGACACACTTTTGAACGTTTTTTCTTTGAATAAATGTTTGTATTTTTATGAATTCGAGTTTTTACGATGTTTACTAGGTGTAACAGTTGCTTTTATTTCAGAGTTTAACATTGATGTGTTCAATTGTGACGATTGGGACACCATTTTGTGATAGATGGGACAAGTTACATTTGAATACACAGAATTTGAAAAAATACTCTGTTTATATGTAGATCCATCATTTGCAAGCAATTTTTTTTTTTTTTTCATTATGATTATGACTCATAACTGTCATAACTCATAACGCATAAAAAAAGACAATTAAAAAGTGACAACATTTTTACCTGATGATTTTAAGTATCAGGAAATTCATGAAAAGTCTGTCCCCACTAGTTTTAAGTATATATTTGAGCAAAACTTCTAAAATTAGATATATTTTGATTTGATACATAACCTTCAAGGATGTGGCAGGATTTTTGAAATTTATTAACGCATTTTAGATGCGTGACTTTGATTTCATGTCGTCATAGATAATGCTTCAAGAAAAATAGTAGGATTACTTTATCAGTTCTTTAATTCTGTTTTTTTTATGCTAAAATGTTTTAATAAGACAAAATTTATAAAATATTTGCTTACTAAAACTTTTTTTTTTGCTTATTAAAACTGTTTAATATGAGATCCATCGTTAGTAAGTATTACACTGGTAATTTTATTAATTCTGTGTATTCAATTGTAACTCGTCCCACCCGTCACAAAGCCATGTCCCACCTGTCACAACTTAACATATGAATTTCCTTAAAATTTATGAAACTTATTAATTAAGTGTATATATAAATTAGAACTTTAACATTCAAGTTATCTCATATGAAAAACTTGCCGAACTAAATATTGATAGTTTGTCTTGATCTTGGCCATGAAGCCTTCAACTCAAACAGGCGGGTGTCGTGAGTGTCCCACCCGCCACACTTAGAAAATTAAACGTTTTTAGTATAAGTAATGTCATTTTATGTAAATAAATAGTCGCAGTTGAATTCCATATCTGAATTCATGATATTTTCATTTTAAGTTTAGTTAACCAATGGTTAGGGAGAAATTACATAAAGTTCAAGAAAAAAGGAGTCAAAATGTCCCACCCGTTACTTTGGAATGGCCCAAATATAAAAATAATATTCTGTTCAATATGCTGGCTAATTGTATCTAGTAAAGTTTTGTAAGATTGTCCCCAAGTGTATTCACCGCCGAGGACAGTGACCCCGCCACTCGCTTCACTGAGCTATACGTAATCTTTCTCGATCGCTTATTTACCTATTTTTTAAATCATGTTTATGTACTAGTATTGTTATAATTTAAAAAAGATTTTTTGTAACTTAGATTTGGTACTTACCAACTTTAAGTTACATGAAAGTAGTGCTAGAGGTACCTAGCTCCACAGCTGGTGGCAGGCTCCGTACCGATACAGCCACAGATTTGCAGTTTCGTTTCAATGTAGCATATTCTTCACAGACAGAAACAGCAGAAAAAGCAGAAAGAAACCAGAGACGATTTTCGCACGCAAATCTTCGACACTCGTAATCTGCGTAAACTAAACGTTTCACATCATGCCATAAGAACGCACTTGAAGTAGCGTTTTTTTTGCCATAACTCTTGTTTACATCACACACAAACCCGTTGCATTTCGTGAGAAACTAGAACGTATGATGTCAGCGGAACGTAGACACAATTCGCAAGATCGACTGATGATCTACCAATCACGTGCTCGATACGATATTCCCCCCGTCCCTACTCGTACCCTGCCACCAAATAGTGTTAGTGTAGTAATAGTGTAGTGTTTTAGCCGCGTTAAACCTGACCCTGTTCGCATCTCCCCAGTCGGGAGCCGCTTTCAGGCTCAGGTCAAACCGGGTGACCATCGCCTCTTGTTTACACCGGATCTCTTCGCTGTTGTCTCGGGCGTCTGGCACATAACTCTCTACCACTGTGCTGTCGTCTGCGTACCCAAAGATACCGGGCAACAGCAGCAGGTCGATTATATGCAGCAAGAATAGAGTGGCGGAGAGGACAGATCCCTGTGGCACACCGGCATTTATACCATGAGGAGCAGATTAGTAACCATCTACAACTACATGGGTTGACCTATCCTTCAGAAAATCGGCTATCCATGTGCAAAAGCCAACAGGAATTCCGTAAGCTGGAAGTTTGTTTAACAGGCTATCATGCCAAACCCTATCAAAGGCCTTTGATATGTCGAGAGACACGGCAAGCGATTCACCGCGTTTCTCGACAGCCTCGCCTCATAAATGGGTCGCAAGAAGATTCCCAGTAGATCGACCACGACGAAAACCATACTGTCGATCACCGAGAAGATAGTTATCTTCGAGGTATCCAAGGAGAAGGCTGTTCAATACGCGCTCCATAGTCTTACAGTATGGAGGTGATTGCGATAGGTCGATAATTAGATGGGTCGGCATGACTACCTTTATTAGGTACAGGCTGTACATTAGCAAGCTTGTGGGTTTTCGGGACTTGTCCAGAACTCATAGAGGGGCGATACAGGCGAGTTGACGTCTAATTTGCGTAAAGTTTTCAACACCTCTTTTTGACGGATAGTGATCTCGGGCATTATTTCCGAGTCACAGCGGGGTAGTGTAGTTGGTGTTTGCAAAGTAGCGTCAAGACGGGAGTTGGAAGTAAAAAGAGAGACAAAAAGATTTGCTTTCTCTTCAGCGGTGTGGGCCAGCGATCCATCAGCTCTCATTAAAGGCGGAAGGGATGACCTGCAGAAATTGGCTTCGACTGATTTAGCGAGCGACCAGAATGCTTTACTCCCTGATGGGTATGAAGCTAACCTGGCCCCAATACGACTAATATTGCCGAAGCGAGCTTTCGGCATCGCTTTTTGCAGGATCTAGCGGCTTTATTAAAGACTTTCTTCAGACGGAGGGTTTCCGGTGCTTTGCGATCTCGAGCATCAACCCATTCAGATTTATTTTTTTAGTGATTTGGATTCACTTTCGGACATAGAATGGACCTCTGTAAATATGGCGAGAATGCAATCAACACATTGTATATATAGCCTGGCGATAAATATAGGTATTTTTTGTGTAACAGAATGAATTACTGACATCTGCAGTGTTCGTAATGTTTTTATTTTGCATTACAGATTCCCTTTGATGGCACGAGATCAATATGACACGCCCGATAGTCCTGGGTGGGCTAGATACCATACATTTGTTCGTTCACCCCGCACAGGGTGTGTTATTAGACGTAGATAATTAATTATAAGAATATAACGTAAACAAAAAATCATATCTAACTATTGTTTTTTATGTGCTGTTTTCTTCATTTTACTATACTATTCCTACCTTTTTGGTCACATTATACATCCTTCTAATAGTTTTTTCAAGAATATAAAACAAAAACTGTTGAAGGCTTTTTATATGTGGACCTACATTACGTAACTCTATGCGCCTGAGCAAAATATAAAGGCAATATTGACATGTTAGCCACTGATATCGAAAACAAAAATTATACAGAATTTCCTTACCTAATACAAGCAAAATTCTGAGATTGAGGTTTCTTTTGCGCCGGGACTGAGTCTTATTTGACCCTTCTCCTTTATGTTATATTGCTATTAAAAACTATTTTAACACGAAGTGTTCTGAGTAGAAATGACTCTACTCAATACAGATTGGATTGTGAGTACCTATATGCTTCGCTTCATGACTGCCTTATACTTCTGTACATTGTTTTTTTTAAACGCTAGACGATGTAACCTTAACATCAAAATATATAATCGTCTCTGGAAAGGCGAAATTACTAACCTCCAAGAAGCCAAAATGGCGCTTTAGTACTTTCGCCTTTCCAGAGACGATATGATATCGCGGCCATCGCGGAAGAATGGCATAAGTGGAGTTACGTCAAAAATGTTTATTGCTCCGTTAGACACAGAAAAATTGGAGTGGCCAATTCTTGTAACTATATCGACAATATTAGCCGATAGAGTTGCAAGAATTGGAGAGGTTGTGGGTTATATTTTTCTATATTTAATCGAGCAATAAACGTTTTTGACGCAACTCCACTTATGCCGTTCTTCCGTGAGCGGCGCGAATATTATGATTTAAAGGTTTTTTTTTACAAATTTTCAAAAATAATATATTATAACTTAAACCACTATTGACATCGTAACTTGGAATCTTTGTAGTGGGGCTACCATCCACTGCCCCCCTTATTTTTGCGTTTTTGACCTCCCTCTCTGTGCACTTAGTGCTAAAATATGATTGCGGTTATGATGATTCATTAACTGGTTATTTAAAAATTTTCAAAAAATAATCGTGAAGACATCCTAAATTAGAAATTTCACAGTTGGGATACCTTCCCTCCGTCCTTCCGTTCCTCCGTCCCTCCCCTCTCTCCCACCTATTTCGACATCAGCTACCATTGACATATTCTAAAGTTCTACCACACACAAAACATAGAACATAGTTTATAACTTATAACTTGTCAAAACGTTCCTTTGCTAACTTTCTTATCTCTCATTTAAATACTGTCTAATAATTTTTGTCACAATATCTTTTTTTATTTTATGTCATTACTGTTTAATTGATTATTTTGATTCGGCATTTCATCATAGCTAGAATTACTTTAAAATTCAAGTTTGACTTCCTAGACGAGTAGTTTTGTCCTACGATGTAGTAAAACCATTTCCGGAAATCGGGAATTCGAAAAAAGTAATGAATTAAAATTTGGTGGTTTTAACAACTCTAGATCACTCCGTGTAGGTATATTTATACATGTATCTATGTATGTGGAACATCTTTTTCCGACCTATGTTTGTAACATAGACAGAGTTAGGGTGCGTTTATTCGACACGAATTTCATCGCGCTCACGCCGCGCGGCGATCTAACTGACATGGCAAAATACGCTGAAATCTGACAGTCATGGCAAAATGCACTCTATTTATTTAGCTTTTACGTTTTAACTTAAATGAGAAAATTACTGGACGCGCGGGCGAGACTGGCTTGTCTTTGGTCTACGCGGCGGCCGCGCGGTTTTATTGTTCCGAGAAATTTGAATGTTCTTACCTAGTAAACAGAATTCAGATTCACCATTAATGTACGGGAAAGCGTGGTAGCTGGATGGTTGCCACTCCGCGTCTTTCTTTCTTCTTCAAAACTTTCGCGTCGTGTAACTGGGCGCCCGAACAGATGCATACCCTACTCGTCTTTTTACTGTTACCTAAGGTGTAGATTATCTTGTCTCATTTTTTTATCTGTTACACTGACCCCTATTTTTTTCCAATTTAACAGCCAGAGGAAATATTCTCAGATTTTGAACCTGAACCTTTAGGCACCGCTTCATTAGCACAAGTACATAAAGCGAAATTGAAAGATGGTACAGAAGTAGCTGTTAAAGTACAGCACTACTTTGTCAGAAATAGTATCACATTGGATTTATATTGGATGGAATTTATCATAAAATCAATGTCGATAATCTTTCCCGATTTTCAAATGCAATGGCTGGTTGATGAAACTAAAAAGAATATTGCAAAGGAATTAAATTTTATACAAGAAGGACACAATGCTGAACGAGTAGCAAAGTTGTTTAGTGATTATAAATGGCTAAAAGTGCCAAAGATATTTTGGGAACACTCTACTGAAAGAGTTCTCGTCATGGAGTATGTCAGTGGTGGACAAGTGAATGACGTTAAGTATATTGATGTACGTATTTTATTTTTACATATAATATATAATAATTTGTAAAACTAAATTTTCTAAATTGCCCCTAGTGAGTTTTGTTGCTTTGGTGCTCATAGTAACTACATGGAATTCCTAGTTTGAAGCCAGGTAATAAATCGGTATGATTGCCTAACACATTATATTATTTTTTTATTTTGTTGCAAAATTGTATTTACATTGCAGGAACACAAAATTAATGGAATGGACCTATGCAAGAAACTTGGTGACCTCTATGCCAACATGATTTTCATCAATGGATTTGTGCACAGTGATCCTCATCCAGGGAATATCCTTATACGGAAAGACCCTGAAGACAAAGAGGTTACTGTCTATTTGCTGGACCATGGTTTGTATGCTGTAAGTAGCAAATTTCTTTCAGTTAAGACGGAAATAACAAGATTTGGAATTCTTCTTTGGAAAGTCAGATGTGAGCGGACCTGCAAATAAAATTGTCATTTGAGGCTCACTTGTTACTTGCAAGCCTGCACAGTATCTGTAAAGAAAAATCCCCAGTTGGAGTAGTCATAACATTTTTCGTTTGATTTTTGTACCTGAAGCTAAATTTTTGCATTCATAGCATGAACTGCTACGGTATTTACCGTAGACAATTATTTTGACTTTAAAATATGTACACCGTTTTGTAACTTTCAATGGTAGTTTCAGCAAACTAAAATATTAACACACTCTTCATGTTTCAGGAACTCACTGACAAATTCCGTTATCATTATTCTAAACTGTGGTTGTCTATAATTGCTCGGAATCGTGATCAGATGAAGGAATATTCTGTAGCGTTGGGAATTCGTCCCGAACTTTATGCATTATTCGTTTGCATGGTCACTGGAAGGCCGTGGGAAACTATTTTGACGGGCATTAGTACAACAAAACCGTCATCAAAAGAGGTTTGTAATTGATAATAAATAAAATAGTTAATGGGGTTTAACCTTTTATACTGAAGGATCACATAGTGTTACGAGATTCATTTTGCCCTCTTCGTCGTAACTAACGCATTTGCATTTTGGTAACGAGATATTAGGGCTTATTCCTAGTTGTCACCACTGGCTTTGTTCCCACTGGCGACAAATAGGGAAAAACTACCTATGTTACCAGGTGGTGACAAACGGGATAAAAAAAAATGTGAGTTGTTGCCACGGTGATATCTACTGGCGACAAATGGAAAAAAAATCTTATATCACCGGGTGGTGACAAACGGGGTAAAAAAAATCTCAGTTGTTGCCATTGGTGATTTCCACTGGCGACAAATGGAAAAAAACCCAAGTGTTACCAGGTGGTGACAAATGAGATCAAAAGATCTGTTCTTGCCACTAGCGACAAATGGAACTTAAGATATCCCAGTAGTTGCCAGTGGTAAAAAAAAACAATGGAATAAAAAATCTCAATTAGTTTGTTTATTGCCTACATATAACATAGTGGGTTTTTTTCCCCATTTGTCGCCAGTGGAAATCACCACTGACAACAACTGAGTTTTTTTATCCCGTTTGTCACCACCTGGTAACATATGGCATTTTTTTTCCTATTTCTCGCCAGTAGAAATCACCACTGGCAACAACTGAGATTTTTTAAACCCGTTTATCACCACCTAGTAATATATGGATTTTTTTCCCATTTGTCGCCAGTGGGAACAAAGCCAGTGGTAAATAAGCCGCTAAGCTGGGAATAAGCCGATATTAGTACCTTAAGTTTTTTCTTTGAAAAATGTCAATTACGCTGATTTTGCTTAACAATAAAACGGAAACTAATAACTAAACTAATAACATACTTATAAAAAAAAGCTTATATATAGGGGTCGGAGATCTCGTTTCGCTGATTCCAGATATGTTAATAACTCAATGTACAACTTAATTGGTAGTGAAAATTATCTGTTCTTGGGTGCTTTTAAATTGATGTCACATGTCACGAAAACCTGTCAAGTTCACACTAGTGTACAAATCACTATGCCTTTGGCATATTCGCTGAGATGTAGCCATATTTATGGAAGTAAGTCTTGAACTATGCATCAAGTTGGATTTCAATATTTATTCCAGTCTAATAATTATCTAAAGAGGCCTTGGCCATTTTTGTTAAAATAAATATTAGAAAAGAAAAATTTATAAACTACAATATTTTTATACATTTTGAAAATACCGGTACACAGTTGTGGCACGTAAGGTTGGTACAGTGAAAAGAGGTTTGAGTTTATAAATGTAAATAAATCGTATTAAAGGTCAAAATATTATTTTTTTATATATATGTATACATATATATATATATTTTATTTTGTCAATTCAATCAACAACTATTTTAATTTTTTAAATGTACTCTAAATTTGTCGAATTTCTATAAGCAGATTGCTGAGTTAAGTGAAAGTCATTTTTTGGATAGTGTGAAGATTTTGATTCCCTCATCCCTGTCAGAGCGTCAAAGTTTGGTGTTTTTTGAAATCGTATAAATTTGGATTGATTAAATCTACATTTTTCTAATTTTGGATTACTTATAAAGTTTTTACCTGCATATCTTAATTAGGAAAAACCACGGGTGGGGCAAAAGTTTAACCATTAAATTATTTAAACCATTTATGTAAATAGTGCACTTGGCCTGGCGTACTAACAGTGTGTTTAAATATTGCAATACGCCTTTCTGATTCTTTTAAGAATAATATAGCCGAATGTGTAAAATATTTATAAAAACCCGTACAGATTATAATTTATATGATATTTTTTGTTAGTAATCTGCAAAAAGAACTGTTATCCCAGCGGATTCAAATAAACAAATCGAATCACTCAATTTATTAAGTAATTTGTAATTAGCAGTACAATAAAAATTTGCCATCACTGAACTGTCTGTGGTCGGATCAAGGATCTGTTTGTGTGTCTTTGATCTGGAATGGATTGGAAACATTAAACATTGTAAACTTTCCAAACATTATGCAAGTTTCCAAACATGTGCAAGTCTCCAAACTGTCCAATGACGAAAATTATTCGTGTTCAAGACTTAACGGTTTTATTTAAATACTTTCAGAAACAAACATTTCAAAAAGAAGTTCCACACCTTGTTCACTACATAACGCAGTGCCTAGAAACCGTCGACCGACAAGCGTTACTTGTCTTTAAGACGAACGATTTAATAAAGAGCATAGAATACGCTTTGGGGCTGCAAGACAAAATGTGTTCATTCATGACCATAACTAAATGCTGTAATGTGAGCGTTTACCAATATGAGTCCAAGGTAAGATAAGAGACACAATAAATACGCTTTTATACCAGGTATACAATAAGCGCCGTCTATTCGTAAGTTGGTGGCTGCAGTCAAATATAGTCTGTCTTTTTTGAAGATGGAGTACGATGACAGTTCTTACGCAAAAGTATTGCCCTCAGCTAGTGATCGCAGTCGATAATCAATATTCTATATTTGCTTACATGGATTATTATTTTACGAATCATGTGATGTTTTTTTAATTAATATTTCCAACGAATTTTTTGAATTTTTCGATACTAAGTGACGGGATGAACAAGTCGCCTGGTGATAAGCGACAACGCCTGTCCATAACAGTTGCAATGCTGCTCAGAGCTTTAAATCGCAAAGATCTAAAGAGCACTGTCACTGCGTCCGTCACCATCAGTTATGTCTCAGTAACTTGTAATGTCCGCGTCCTATTTGCCTGTAATTTCCCTACAAACCATTGAATATTTACTTCATCGGTCTCTATTAACTAGACATACATGTTTAAGGGGTGGTAGCCCAGTGGGGGAACGGTTGCTTCTTAATTGAGTGGTTAACGGTTCGGATCTCTGTGGCGCCATATATTTGTGATTGTAATTTCTAAGTTACACACATTTATAAATGTTTACCTGCAATTCCTTTCGTTATGCGGTGAAGTAAAATATCCCGATGGTACCTACATGTTGAAGAAGGTTTACAACCTTTGCAAATCGTGTAACGTCCTCAACTGACTTGGAATCTAGTCAGGGTAGTAGCCTGAGGCCTAAACCCTTTTCATGGCTTTGAGGCGACCGGTGCCCACCAGAGGGACGTCCAATGGGTTGATAATGTCTTTTTTTTAAATTTCAGAATGCAGAATCAACTATTACCAGACAGTATCTCAAAATAAAATACGCGTGGAGACTGTTAATGCTCTATTTCTATGGGGTTTACCTGAATTTTTATCATCGTTTTAATGTAGGTTAAAAGAAAGTCTCAAATGTACAGTACTTCTATTTTCTTAATGTACCTTGGCAATCATAGCTTTTCCGAATGCACAAGAATATTAATTTTCATGCCCATTCATTATTAGATTTATCATCTACTTTTATAATCATTTGAATTCAAAACTACGTACTTTATTGTAGTGTTGATTTCCGTTTGAACTATATAGAGCTGTAAAACTATTTCCTTGTTTTTAACAACATTTCCTCCATGTCAATAAGCAAGTTAACAAACATATATACTAAATAAAGTGTGCTTCTTCTATATAATTAAAAATGAATATTTTCCCGGATATTAATAATTTAAATTCAGACCAAATCTGAACGCATTCCTTCGTCTGACATAGCTATGCTAGTATGTTAGCCAATAGATGGAATAACCATTTTCGGCGCGGCTTAAACAGTGGTTCAAATGTTCTATATTCATCCTCACATTTTATTGCATGATCACATACTTTTTTCCATTTTCTTTGATTGCTGTCACATTCATTACAACATTTTTAATAGCGTTACATAAAATTTTTAAACGTGTCGTTTAATTTGAGACCAAATGTTTTAAATTGGATTCAAATCCGGATAATATGGTGGCAGTCGTAAAATGGTATGCCCATGTTCTTTGTTATTTTTACAATGTCGCATATATCGATTTATAATGAGTTTGGGTTATGAAGAATATTATGTTGCTGTAACCCAACTATAATTTGTGGTTTTGGAGTGTTTGAATTCGGGGGTTTAACTGATTTTAATCAGAATTTGTTACGGTATTGTGCATTATCTATCACTAAAACTTAAGCCAAGTTTGATATCCATCTGCATTGTTTTATGGTAATTACCGTCACTAAATACATTTGTAGTGCACTTGGAACATCTTTTTAATTTCGATGATTATACGTTCTTTCAAAATTGTTTTTTTTACTTTTTACTTTTTTATTTTCCAAGATTTCCTGTTTGTAACCGATATGTGCACATAATGATTCATCCATTAAGATACTCTTTACTCTACTCTTTTTTACCATCGGCACCTCAACTTCTCAATTTCTCGGATATACTTTAATCTTTTATAGTGAATATTATGCTTTTCCATTAGGACAGCCCTATTGCTTTTTGTTTTCTTATATAGAAAACCTATAAAATTGTTCTTAATGTCTGCAGACAGCCTCTAAATTGGATAGCCACAACCAACTTTGCTTTCAAAGTCCTCTAACAAGGTAGTACCTTAAAGCGCAAATCAAACTCGTAAATCATGTTACGTATGATATGTTTCGTCTTTTTTTACCCCTGTACGTGACTAAAAAGGTACTGATTTACCTTTTTTATTATATTCTTTTAAAATATTGTTTACTGTTCCGAGTTAAACACCACAAGCTTCGTTAACACGTTTCTGGACGTTACGAAAATAGCCATTGTTGTCTTTCTTGAATGTATCGGCTTCTTGTAAAAAAATACTACTAGGTATACGCTGTAATTTATGTAGTGCCTGTGATCGTAGTAGCAACTCTATATGGAAGTATATGTATGTAATAGTTATAAGTACATATTTCAGTCGACTGAATGCGTCCGTCTGTACCAAAGGCAACTGAATAGGACCCCGCGAAACACGAAGTTTGCTGAGCTACCTTAGGAAAATAGAAGCACTTTTTTTTGGCTAATTTAAATGAATAGTCTTTGTGGAAAGGGTCTTATCATTACCAAAACGTGTTTACGTGTATTTAGCCTTTAGTATGGACCTTGTGGAATATAGGATTGGTGCTAACAGAAAATATTTGATATTTTATAAGAACTTTTATTTGATTAGGGAAACAAGTCTATAACGTTCCTAGTCAAATGTGTCCAACAAATAATTTTATTCTAATTATTACAGACTCGAATATAATAGCAAACACTGTACAGAACAATATTTTTTGTTGTAAATAGTAATCAAAGCATAAAATTTTTACAATTTGGAAAGTACGTTTTCTATTATTAGTAATTTATTGAAATATAGGAACATATGTTTTTGTAATGCTTGTTTTATTTATTATAAAAATAAATCATTGAGTTAGTTTAGTTTCCAAGTAGGAGAGCTTGTTATGCAAACTAGTTAAATCCGATTGTATCTTGAACAATGTTTTTGTGAAATTATCGGTGCTATTCCTTGACTGAGTTTTAATGAAGAATGATGTATTGGAAAACCTTGGGCCGGCTCGCTTGCGTTCCAATGGGGCGAACTTATTGAATACCATAGCTTCTGTGGTCATTCTAGTTAACGCTGGAAAAAGTTAAAGGAAGTAAATTAAAAGTATTATTATTCTTTGTATGTAAACAACACACTATCAGTTACAAAAAAAATCTGTTATATAAAAGAAAAGGAAAGAAATGAGAAAGGAATCGGGACACCAGAAGTCGGTCATATTTTATAAAATGTTATTCATTTTGTATGATTTTTTAAATTAAATTTAACCAACTTCTTGTGTCCCAATTTTTTCTTCCGATACAATGAAGTCATCCTTACAAGCAAATGAGTTTAGTATTAGGGGTTAAAGTATGAAATTGCCGTTTTATTGCAATAGGTTCTTTGAATTTTCATAGAATCTTCATGGTTTGAGGTTTTCGAATGAAACTTTTTTCAAATGGTTTCTGTGATTTTTTTTTTTTAAATTTGAAACATTTGAATATCGACTTTCAATTGTTTTTGTTATTCAATTTAGACAAGAAAGATGGATACTGCGAAAATTCGAGTGATTTTTGAATACGAGTTCCGACGCGGAACTAACGCGGCAGAAACAGCCCGCAATATCAATGCTGCGTTTGGAGAGGGGTCTACTAATGAACGCACCGTGCGATTTTGGTTTAAACGCTTTCGTGATGGAAATTTCGACTTAAAGAACGAGTCACGAGGAAGACCGCCCACACAGGTGAATAACGATGAATTAAGAGAGATAGTGGAAGCCGATCCTAGTCAAACTACCCAGGAATTAGCGGCATGGTTTAACGTTACCTTACCCACAATATTGACTCACTTGCGTCAAATCAATAAAATAAAAAAATACGAAAAATGGGTGCCTCATGATTTGACTGATCTGCAGAAAGAAACGCGTGTTGAAACTTGTGTTGCCTTGTTGAACCGGTACACAAATGAAGGAATATTGGATCGAATTGTAACATGTGATGAAAAGTGGATTCTTTATGATAACCGGAAAAGAAAAATGCAATGGCTGACCCCAGGTCAAATGCCACAGCAGTGTCCTAAAGCAAAACTTACCAATAAAAAGGTAATGGTAACTGTTTGGTGGTCTCAGCATGGTGTTATTCACTATAGTTTTCTCCGATCTGGTCAAGCAATAACGGCAGATGTCTATTGTGCCGAACTCCGAACCATGTCGACAAAATTAGCAGTAAAACAGCCCCGACTCATGAATCGATCTTCACCATTATTGCTCCACGACAACGCGAGACCTCACACAGCACGAGAAACCATTTTGACCCTTCAGGAACTGCAGTTAGAAGCCATTCGTCATTCTCCGTATTCACCAGACCTTGCTCCAACGGACTACCATTTTTTTCGTGATTTGGACAATTATCTACGTGACAAGAAGTTTTCTTCCCAGGAGGCAGTACAAAATGCTTTCACACAGTTTGTGCAGTCTAGATCGTCGGAGTTCTATCGCAAAGGCATTAATAACCTTCCCATTAGATGGCCGCAATGTATAGATAATAATGGCAACTATTTTGATTAAATAAATTTGTTAAAAATTTAAAAAATAAACAGTTTAGATTTTCAGTACAAATCGGCAATTTCATACTTTAACCCCTATTATTAAAAAAAATTAGCCAATTTTATTAATTTTATATGAAAAACGTTTTATGTTTGACCATCTTCTGCTGTCCCAATTTTTTTCGTTCCAACAATGTAATGATCCCTCCATGAAGCTGAGTCAGCTCAGATCAGCGCAAAAAAAATTTTGGTCAATTTTATTCATTTTTATGGACAACTCGCGTAGGACCAAAAAATTTACTGTCTTCACAAAAAAATGTTGTCACGAAAAATACTCAATGGTTCTTATGACAGTTTCCTTGTATCTCTATGGTTTCGGATTTCCCCATACTGTCCCATTAAAAAAACATTATATAAAAACCGAATACGATAAGTATCGAAGATACATCCGCGCGGATGAACACGGAAGGTATGTGGATAGCGAAATCCAAGTGGGTGTGGGGTATTCCTAATTTTCAAACCGCCGTGTACCGCCATGGGTAGCGGTAAAAACTTAATTTTCGCCCGTGTAGACAATCACTTCTGTGTCGTCAGTGAATAAGATCACATTACCACACTATAACTATAATCGTGCGTAACGTGTATCTCAATAAATTTATCATTTGACTGTTTCGACGTCATGATCACAATTAATGAGTCCTTCCATTATATCTCTAGCCACGAAACTTCACACTTGGCATCCTACAGCGCGGTATTTTTCGCTCCTCACAGTGATCACCAAGGCTCTGATAAATATGCAATATAAAGTACAAAATATGTACATGTAATGTACGAAAAAATGAGGAGATAAAAAAACTGTTCTCATAGTCTGGTCTCATGTTTCACATAGACTACGCTTTATTATAAAAAAAATCAACAAATGTTATTCCACTTCAATCTAAGTTTCGTTAGGTACTGTTATTGTTACAATACACAATTACATATTTTTTAAATTTTTAAATTAAAATTCTGTCTGTTTGGTCCGAGCAATGCTTTGTACTGGCTGAATGACCTTTGACGTCACAGGATGTGACTGGAGCAAACTTAAATTTGCACAAGTCCGCAAGTGAGTAAGGTCACGTCTAGGTTGTCTTCTAAACTTCCGCACAGTACACTAAAAGTTAAGTTGATTTAGTGTATTAAAACCTTCTTTTTTTTCAACAAGCACGCACACGCGTTTATTTAATGTATTAAATTAAATAAAATAACACGTAATATTGAATACACGTATTATTGCAAGTTTATTAAGAAATATGGTCTAAATTTGTAAATATGGAAAATTATAAATTATAAAATAAAAGTCTCTTTTTACTCTAAATATTATTATTTATGTAGAAAACAATTTAAAGAACGTCAATTATTGAAATAAAAAATACGTAGTTGCATATTAATCCGGGCCATAGTGACAACGAATATCGTTTACTGAATAGATTTTTAATGGTTAGCATTTAAAGGTACGAATTAAAAAAATACGCACAATCTTGTCCTTTATCCAAATTTGTATTTATGCAGTCAGATCTCTCGGGCAATACCTCAGTGGACATCTTTGGTGGTTGATTTTCTTCTGCCGATGTTATTAATCCCATCAGCATATTGTTATTTGATGTTGCCGCTGGTAAATAAAATAAATAAATAATTTTTGTGTTAGATAATATCATCGATTTTCAATACTTTTGGGTAAGTATAATTCCATGTATAATTCCGTTAAATATAGGTATGTACCTGCCGATTTGTTTGAATTGAACAAGTTATCCGATTTGGTCATTTGTAGTCTTTTTTTTAAACTGACAAACATCCAAATGATCTACGTAATGGCAAGCGGGTTTCCAAATTATGATCTACGTAATGGAACTATTTCACTGTAACTAATTTCATAATAAACTGCCTTCGTGGCCGAACGGTTACCATGCTGGACTACTACGGGTACCGGGTTCGATTTCCAGACCGGAAGAAATATTCGCATATGGCCTACATTTATTTATCTTGTGAGTTTGAGTGTAATTTGTGGTTGACAATGTCTGTGTACATGGCACCCGCGATACAGGGTTTCCCTACGGCTGAGCTATCAGTATGCCAGTAGAATATACAATCTAAAAGTCACTCTTATCAATAAATAGGGTATGATCAATCGCACCCTGTATTTCTGAAAACGGCTGCGTTTCAAAGTTTACAATTGTATTCAGCGATAATACTCACATTGCCTTTGTCTACCTGGCAACCAAACTTCCAAAATAAAAGGTCGATGAGGCTCATTGCCTTTACGTAGCTCTGTCAATGGTATTTTTAATTTGTCATTGTTTTTCAGTACGATAATTTCTTCACAATAGTCTGGTAGGTCGAGAATGTGCCACATTTTCTGTCGCAAGGTGGAAATTGAAGCTGTAGGCTTTATGGCTAAGTATCGGAATTGTTCTTCGTTGGCTATGAAAGGGTTAGTTTTAAATCAGAATAAATATAGTTAATGATGAGGAAGAGTAACTACATAGTATACCATGGATCAGATAAAGTATAATAAGATCTATGTAGTATAACTCCATACAAACGTAGCGGCGTTACTTGTACCTATATCTGTGTATACGGATGCACAAATTAGCTTAATTTTGCGGTGCATTCAAGTTGCACAGCGCGAGTCGCCCCACGTGCCATTGATTGTAGAATTGAAGTAACCGCTCGATGTTTAAAAAGTGACATAAAAAAATATAGACGTATTTGTTCTTGTGTTTATTGTTGTTTGAACAAGAGTGTCCCAAAAACGGAATTGTTCAGCATTTTGTTTCTATTTCATAATCATACTCCCATAATCGTAATACCAATCCGCTATTAGGTAGGTATTAGATATTGATACTGCGTTATTTCAATATAGCACGTAAATACTGCAATGAACACCTTTTTTTTAAATCATGTTTATAACCTATAGGTACTTATGTACAGCTAAAATAATAATGTGACAGCCCTACACTCCGAACGAAGTGTAGCCGTTTACGCGCTGAACAGGCGGGAGTTACCCTACTTGTTAGGTATATTATGCTATAGTGTTAGGTATGGAGATCTTGCTGGCCATCTCGTGGGTCCATGTGTACAGATCCAGGAAGGAAAACAATCACAAGAGACTCGCCTGTTCTCCGACTGTTATGAACCTGAGTCACATCTTGAAGTAAGTAGGTGCAAATGTCGACATTAAAACGCATTATAATTAATTTTCCTAAACTTAAATGTAAAATTTCATGGAGTTCCTTTAATTTAAGATACTATGTTACTTAAAAGGAATTAATCCTTACAGTTGACTCTTTCGATCGACATCATACGCTCTAAGCGACACGTGTAGATAGATACCTAGTCATTGACGCCAAACAGAGACGGGAGTTGGACTACGTGTCTTAATTATTATACTATGGATCAAATAAAGAACAATGTGTCGTCGCTAACGGATGTCTAGGAGTAGGCCTGCCTACAGCATACAGGCAAAGGCTTAGTCTTACTGCATTCATCTCGTAAATTTTTGCAACGAAACAAAAGCATCCACAGTTTTACACTTACACCCCAAATCATGTCTCTGTATAATAAGGAAGTTGATAACATCTTTCTGGAAAATTTTTATAGGCTTTGAGAGAAATTTCTTCAGAGACATGGCGCTGAGTCGTCCTTCTTGACATTTGGTAAATAATTACCAACACATAACGCAAATATTGCTTGATCTGTTCACTTTTTACAGGTTAGTCCTCCATCAAATATACTAATGATCACTTTGTAATTTGTGACATTAATGATAATAGTGGTTGTCTGTCATGTGTCAAAGCCTAGATGTTGGCTGAAAACCCGGTACTGGCGAAATCCTAAAAAGGCACCGTCAATAAGTAAAAAGAAGAAGAATACCTTAGACTATGGAATTTTTTCCCATTCTATGAAGAATACGTCTATCTGCCTGAAAGAATCCGTTAGTTTTTCAAGCTAAGATAGCAAAACTCTTGCGTCGTGTATATACAACTAGCTTCATTTCTAGGCTAGTATGCTAGTGAGAAAGATAGTAAGCTAGCGCCTCAAGCTAGGATAGTTCAATAGGATGGGGTTCTATTATTTAGCTTCATCCACAACTAATTTTACTATCCTGGATTGTGTACCTACTAGCTTCGTATGGTCGACGAAGCTAATATTCGATCAGCTAGTATGCAGTGACGACACATTTTGTTGTCCGGACCGGTGACCGCGTGTTTCTGAGACAGTTAACATGCCGAAACTGAGTACAGTAATTAATTCAAAATTAATACAATTGTATTATTATGTATAATTTGAAGAGGAGTTTCTGTGAAACGCCACTATTCCATAACATAAAGATAACTCAGCATGATTCATCATTACAAAAAAAAAAATGTGGCAAATTATTAATAATCGCCATGGAAGTAATTGTGTTTGTTTTACGAAAGCTCTTCATAATTACAATAACGTTATTTAGTCGCTTTTCCGCTTATCTTTAGGTGTGGTGGTAAAAAATACGCAATTATATATTATACAAAACTATATTTATTCAAGAACAGATAAATGTAAAAACATAATTTACTGTCCGAAAGGAGGCTCGGCGTTAGTCGTCAAGTGGAAGATACCAGATGTGCTGGAAAATAATATTAATTAAGTATAGTCAATTACGAGAATTTAATTAGCTACCTACAAGTTTTAACATCGAGTATATAACCAGAAATAGAGATGAAATGTCATTTAATTTGTTTGGAAAATATTCTGCCAAATCATTACGGTGACAACTACGCTCCGATTGGCTAGCCCGAATTCGAAACAATTGACGGGTTGTCGTCAATTGTTTCACTTCAAATCGACCAGTAACTGCCTCCGTGGCCGAACGGTTATCATCATATATATTTATATTATACATATATAGGTTATCATTATATTAGGGGTTCAAGTATGAAATTGCCGTTTTATTGCAATAGGTTCTTTGAATTTTCATAGAATCTTCATGGTTTGAGGTTTTCGAATGAAACTTTTTTCAAATGGTTTCTGTGATTTTTTTTTTTAAATTTGAAACATTTGAATATCGACTTTCAATTGTTTTTGTTATTCAATTTAGACAAGAAAGATGGATACTGCGAAAATTCGAGTGATTTTTGAATACGAGTTCCGACGCGGAACTAACGCGGCAGAAACAGCCCGCAATATCAATGCTGCGTTTGGAGAGGGGTCTACTAATGAACGCACCGTGCGATTTTGGTTTAAACGCTTTCGTGATGGAAATTTCGACTTAAAGAACGAGCCACGAGGAAGACCGCCCACACAGGTGAATAACGATGAATTAAGAGAGATAGTGGAAGCCGATCCTAGTCAAACTACCCAGGAATTAGCGGCATGGTTTAACGTTACCTTACCCACAATATTGACTCACTTGCGTCAAATCAATAAAATAAAAAAATACGAAAAATGGGTGCCTCATGATTTGACTGATCTGCAGAAAGAAACGCGTGTTGAAACTTGTGTTGCCTTGTTGAACCGGTACAGAAATGAAGGAATATTGGATCGAATTGTAACATGTGATGAAAAGTGGATTCTTTATGATAACCGGAAAAGAAAAATGCAATGGCTGACCCCAGGTCAAATGTCACAAGTGTCCTAAAGCAAAACTTACCAATAAAAAGGTAATGGTAACTGTTTGGTGGTCTCAGCATGGTGTTATTCACTATAGTTTTCTCCGATCTGGTCAAGCAATAACGGCAGATGTCTATTGTGCCGAACTCCGAACCATGTTGACAAAACTAGCAGTAAAACAGCCCCGACTCATGAATCGATCTTCACCATTATTGCTCCACGACAACGCGAGACCTCACACAGCACGAGAAACCATTTTGACCCTTCAGGAACTGCAGTTAGAAACCATTCGTCATCCTCCGTATTCACCAGACCTTGCTCCAACGGACTACCATTTTTTTCGTGATTTGGACAATTATCTACGTGACAAGAAGTTTTCTTCCCAGGAGGCAGTACAAAATGCTTTCACACAGTTTGTGCAGTCTAGATCGTCGGAGTTCTATCGCAAAGGCATTAATAACCTTCCCATTAGATGGCAGCAATGTATAGATAATAATGGCAACTACTTGGTGTAACGGGCTAGTGTCCGCAACTCGACGTCAAGGCGCCTATTTTGTGTTATAATGGCTACTATTTTGATTAAATAAATTTGTTAAAAATTTAAAAAATAAACAATTTAGATTTTCAGTACAAATCGGCAATTTCATACTTTAACCCCTATTATATCACGGCCGGACTGCCACGCAGAGGTCCCAGGTTCGATTCCCGGGTTGGGAAAAATATTTGTATGTCCTACATTTATTTCTCTCGTGAGTTGGGTGTAATTTGTGGTTGTCTATGTGTGTGTCCATGGCACCCGCAACACAGGTTTTCCCTAGTGCGGGGCAATGTTGAGTGTGTGCGTTAAAAAAAATTTAACTTGAGCTTTGCTATAATGGACGAAATTTGAAAAATTACATATTCATTGCCGATCAAATGTGATTCAGTTTGTTTTGTAATTAGATGTTTTGCTGTTTTTCCCACACCACCGAATGGAATTTCCCCCGTTGTATATATTGTTTTTATTACAATAAATGTAGAATATTTAGTAGTAGTCAGTAGTTGGCCCTGTACTATTTCAGCTTTCTAATTTGTGATGTCAGTGCAAACGAGAGTTGATATTTAAAATTGATATACCTAAGGCTCATTTGCCTGATGACTTGCCAGGTATGGATGGCCCTTATTTGGTCTCTATTTCTGGATATGTAGGTACCTACTCAGTGAGTTTTAATTAAAGAAAACTGGAAACAAATGCAATATAGGCCGAAAGAATTATGCTATGGATAGCAGGAATCAACGTTACGACTTGCAAAGTTACTTATGTAATTAAGGTGTGATTTTATTTAATAATGTGCCTGACAACCATACCAATTGGCTGGTCTCAAACTTGGAAATTCCCTGTATTATAAGTACCTGAGCAACGGAATTCAGTCTGGGGCACATCCCAGAACACCTAGACCAGAACCAATTTAGGAAGTTAATTCCCCAAATTGGTCCTAAGGGAATCGAATCGGGGATCTCCGTATCCATAGCCCACAGTGTAAACCGTAGGGCCACCGAGGTCGTCAATTTCATCTTAAGCATTTATTAGCCCCCTTTACACAGACACTCTATCGCGCGTGATCGGGATTGTGCGCGGGAAAGCTTGCACGCGCAATCGTGGGCGATTACCTGTTTAAAATTTTTTAAGCTAACGTTCTGTCGCGCGCGATTGCTTGTGTTTGTTTTTCTTACACCAGAAAAAGCGTCCGTGTAAGGGCTAATAGCGCAAGATAGACCGCGAGAAACTGGCATCTGGCAGATGAGCGCAATCTTTTCCTTCCGTCTTTACACGCGCGCTCAATCGCGCAATCGCGCGATTGCTGTATAACGCGCGATAAAGTGTCTGTGTAAAGCCCGCTATAGTTTGTTTGCCTAGAAAATAGTCTAAAAGTTTTTCTTACCCAGTCTTCGGCATCAGTCCTCCCATGCGAATAGTGGTCTGAATGGGGCAAAGGCCGGTTCTGGCCTGTACAACGGTTTGGCAACGTCGCGAGAGGAAACCGGTAGTGGTGGTCAGAGTCTCCGCAAAGAAGAAGAAACTCCTGCAAATTCAAACGTATTAAATCACAATTGTATACAAATATTTATAAAAATGTTATATACAAACGACCACTTTATTAGGCGACCTCCGCATTTTGTTGGTTCTTGTAGTAAAAAAGTTTTTTGAGACATTAATGTACCTGTAGTGGTTGCAAACGAAGTTAACTCCACAACCGGGCTGGTAGTCTCCACCGTTAGGGTAGAAGTCAGAATGAGCTAGAAGACCGCCATGTCCCATGATGTCAGCGTTCGTGTGGATAGCCTCAGTGTAAATGGCGGCGTCGGGGCTCAAAATGTGGCCACTGTCTTCCATGCCCGCTCCAGGGTCCAAACCTGGAAAATGGAATAGGTACGTAATATGAGGTAAGCCACTGCTGGAGTTTTACAACATTCTTAGGATTTTCTATCGTGTACATTTACATAATATATCTTTACTTTTCATAGAGCTGTGTTCAAATTTGCAGTTAACAAGAAAAAAACAACAAGTAGCAGTATGTATCGGTAGCTGATTGTACTTAGATATTATTAATCCAAAAATAATATCCACGTGAATGTATAGTTCAATTCTAATTGAAGTTTTATTAGATAATTTCGATGTTGATGAGATGAGAAGAAAGTAAAAGTTCTCATCATAAATAAAACATCAAACATCATTCCTCACCGGTGAGATATGGGATACGTCCACTCTGAACATTTCTGCCAGCAACACCCGCCATATGTGCACCAAGACTGAAGCCAACGAGGTGGAAGTTAGCAATATTGGTACCGGTTTCACCGACGATCCAGTCGATAGCGCGAGCCATGCTCTCACCTAGAAGATTATTTAGGTACATTTTTAGAAAATTGTGTTCTTGTGCAGTCATCTTATACTCTATTATTTTAAAGCTGCTCGTTTATCAAGTACGTTGGCTTAGAAGCCTTAGCTGTATTAGATTTCATTATCATCCTGAGCCTATCGTAGTCCACTGTTCGACATAATCTCTTAATTCGCGCCATTTCGCCCGGTCTAACGGGTGGCTAGTACGCACTGATTGAAAACCTTTGTTTTTAACTTTGCGGTATGGGTGACGAAAATACTCGACGTAGTTTTCTAAACGCTCACTGTCCAACTAAGATGGGTATTAGTTTTATTACCAATATAGGTATAGTTTTCAAAATTTCATATTTTTTTATATGGCATAGGCGTACAAAAACCATGGACTTTTGAAAATATAAAGGTTCACCCAGATATTTTTTCCACTGTAGATAAATAGTTTTTAACCATCTTAGGTATAAAACGTAAGTATGTAGGTATATTTATTTATTTAATAAGGTAGGCACATCTACAGATTTTTTATGATACTATGTAATGTGACGAACAGGCCAGCGACACGCCTGTCCATACCAGTTGCAGTGCCACTCAGAGCTTTAAATCGCAAAGATCTGAGGGGTACTGCCACTGCGCCCGTCACCCTGAGACATAATTGACAAGTCGTATGTGCCTGTAATTTCACCGACACTCGTAACCATCGAAATCATATTACCGCTTGGCGGTAGAAATAGGTAAGAACTCTTTCACAAGGAGGTCTATTACTACTAAAGACTTAGGTATTTATTTTATTGGCACAACTACAGAATACAAATCAATATTGATAAATTAACGAAAGTAACGGTCTAAAAAATTGACTAAAAATTATTATACTTATATTATCGCATTTGTATACTCACCAGCTTCACCAGCGTTAGTGGCGACTGCGTTCCAGTCCAGGACAAACACGTTCACGTCTTCGCCCTCAAGGAAAGCTGAAATCATTCACCTTGTTAAAGTTACTAAAACATGTACAGTACATGCGTAACGGTGTAACATGTGTGGCACCATATTCAGAGTTGAAAACATTGAACGAACCTGGTACGAGAACGGCATTGACATTAGAAGTCGCAGATTGAGTAAAACCGTGGACGAGAAAGACTGTACGGCGTCCAGGACTGAAGTTCGAGTTTGCAAGGAGAGTGCTTTGGCCCAGCAACATAGGTTGACTCTGGCTGGGGTTTTGTCTGAAATGAGGGATGTCATATTGAAGTAATAAAGTAATGATGTCACAAATATACCTAATTGTTTCTCCTTTGACACCTAGAATTAAGTGTGTAAATATCTCTTAGAGGATGGAAAAAAATAAGATATCTATACTTTGCCTCAGTGGCCGAACGGTTACCATGCGGTTAGGTTTCGGGTTCCATTCCCGGGCCGGGAGAAATATTTGTATGGTCTACATTTATTTCTCTCGTGAGTTTGTGTGTAAGGTGTTCTATGTGTGTGTCCCTGGCACCTGCGACACAAGGTTTCCTTAGTGCGGGGCTAGGAGTGTGCGTTATTATAATTTTTTTTGTCTTTAGGTAGCAACACGTACCACGATTTTTGTTTCTGGGTTTTCCGATATTATTTTCTAACATAAAAACATGAAAAACTTTGTTTCCCTGCAAAAACTTTCTTTGTGGCCAGGACAACGAAAAGTTGAAATTTGCATACCGTTACGGAAACGTAGGTAGGTACCTATTTTTAGGATTTCTCTTTATTTAAAGCCAAAAAGGAACATTATATTTCAAATCAATAGTAAGTATATTTCAACCAAAATCCTATAAATTGACAACAAGAACCTAGAAATGTGTACATTTGCGAGATTCTGTAAATATCACTATGTGGCTATTTAAATAGGCGGCTATGTAAATAGGTACCACAGTTAAAATCACAAATGTAAAGTTTCAGGGGTATAGCTACTCTTTTCTAAATACTTACTGCGCAATAAAACAGAAACCAAGTTAATAATCTACTATGTTGTCAAATCAAACAAAACGTTAACTTGAGTTTTGGTACGTTTCGAGTAAACGTTTATTCACTATACACACTTAAATCTAATACTTAAGACTACATAAACAACAAGTGGCTGAGTAATTTTAAATTAGTAAGTGTATAGTGGCGCAAAAGAGGAAAGGACAGGCGTTGATTTTCAGTCGTTGCGTTTCAGCTTCGGCTGAGTCCTAAGGAGCCCTGTGTTGTATGCTACATTACATGTTTACGAAACACATGCGATACATGTACCTTTTTGATTTTTTGTACATATTGATTTTTATGCAATGATATCAGTAGGTTTAGATCCCGTACGTTTAATGTAATATCTATCTTCATAGTGATCGATAACAAAGCTTATCGACGAAGACGATTCGACATCCATTTTGATTAAGCACTTACTTGTTATATCTCTCCATTGCGTAGGTATAACACAACTCGCATAGCTCTATAATAGCCTGTTAAAACGTGTTATATTTTTTTTTCAAAAAAAGTAGACTTTGGTTGGCCACATACCTGGTAAAAAGATGGTAAACATTCCGTGTGTCGGCGTTGTACATTATGGCTTCTTTAGCATCGCTGACCTTGAACCATTGGTCTACAAGGTGAAGATTGCCTTCACCGTCGTCATAGTATTGGAATCTCAATCCATCGTTCTTTTTGAAGAGCACTGGATCTGGTGCTGGCACAGCTAAGAGAAAGGGACTGAATATAGTTGTGGTCTATAGGTGAACAGAGAAGTGTAGGTAAACACTTATAACTATTATTTAGGTCAGGATCAACGGCCTGTTTTATTTATATATATTTAATGGTGATCGTATCTATCTATTGATTGTACGTTTTAACACAGTTTTCAAAAGCAATAAGTAAAATAGAACAACATGAACGGAAGTTTGTGGTAAAGTAAAAATATAAAAAAAAGTTTAAATTAATAATATATAAAGTATATAATATTTAAATATATAAAGTTTAGAGTAGGGTGGTTTTTACTGATATTATATCTGGTGATTTTACCATCTCGGCCTGCCCATTATCCAGTAACTATGGGACCCATAAATAGCTAGAAACGTTGGATTGTTTGAAAAACAAATATATTATACAAGATTAAAATCCGAAAAAATAATTTAATTCCAAGTGCAACATAAACTTCAAAATTTAAATATCAATAAATACAAACTACTAGATATCTCTAATGTGTTTGCGAAAATATTGTCACTGAGGCATAGGTCCGCGGACCGCAGTTCTGTAGGTACCCCGTCATCCAGAACTTTATTCAAATAGACTAAGCATGTGCAAAAATTGAGGCAATCATTTATAATTGTACCATTTGCATCCGAATTTCGTTACATGGCTAGCACCGGCGCTAAAGCGGAGCGAGTTAAACATTAAAAAAAAATTATATAATAAAGTTGTAATGGTTTCCGCCTATGACACGAAAATAACGATGGCAACCGTAGCAAGCGAAATTATTACAATTTTCAACAAAATGTACTCTTGTTGTAATAAACCTACATGTGATTAGTAGAGCTAGTATGACAGGGCGCGACTTGCGCAAGAGCAACATAAAACGCGGGATTTCTATGCGATAATAGAATCGTGCTATAACGTCGTCTTAGAGTGAATATGCGATATGCCTCGTATGCGATTTCTATGTAATTTTTCAGGACAAAGATAAAAATGTGTGTAAAATGTAATAAACGCAATACCTAATGTTTGTAGTCAGCATTTTAATTAGTTAAATTATATCTCTTTCAGAAACTATATTACTTTAATAATATATTTGAGCAAGAAGTTTATAAGATTTTCTTCAGCAGAAATCGGTATGTGAAAACGCGTATACGAGGTTTTCACTCTAAGGCGACGTTATGTCGATCTCGCGCAAGTCGCGCCCTGTCGTGCTAGTCCTAAACTATTTTATTTTTTCCATCCTCTAAGTGCTAGCTCTCCGGTTTATACGTCAAAAATGCTTTAGGCAAAAAATAATAACTCCTAAATGAAACAAATTAGGCAGGTACCTAATAGGCAGGTATATATAAAATATAACTCACCTAATCGACTAATTTCGTTCGTAGAACATTTGAACCCACGTACCAAATTTTGAACTTTTTTCTTATAAAGTTGTAATTTAGCAGATGAGGCCTTATTACACGAAAAGGATGCGAATACTATGAATGATCACTGCCTTCAACACAACACCCATGTGTTAGAAGTGAGCGCAGCGAATCAAAATAATGTTGGCATTGGCACCCAAATTAGTACAGGCAAACGTGGAAAGGAATTAATAGTACCTACGCCAATAAAAGTACACATACCTAACTGTTCGTATCAGTCGTTTTTAAGCTCCGGGGCTCGTATGTGACTTTTCGTATTCAGTACGAAAGTCCATGGAGAGTAAATAAATAAATAAATATTAGACAAAACCACATACGTTGCACTGATCTCAAAGTAAGTAGGTAACTTAAGCACTTGTGACGACGGTACCACAAACACTCAGACCCAAGATAATATAGAAAAGTTAGTTTTCAACATTGACCTGGCCGGAGATCGAACCCGGGACCTCAGAGATGACGACACCATTGCCACAGATTACTTAGGTACGCTATTTAAGGGCTTAAATAACTCAAATATCGTTGTTACACAGTGGGCACGCCTCCCGAAGCAATGAATTAGAATATTTACGCCTTTATAGCTACCGTCAAGTTGAGGTCATTAAAAAAGGCGAGAGTGAATTGGTATTACATCCCTAATTTTTTTTAAGATTCAGATACGGCTTTTCGCAAGAAACGTTTATTAGGGCGAGTGTCCACGCTAAGAAAAGTCGTCGTGTCTATGCAAGAATTCGTGTCGTTTCTACACACGAACTGTGTACTGTAACTGGGGCGTAGCGAGAGGTACTTTTATAAATTTAAACTGGGATAATCTTCAAAACTTGCTCTATTGCACTTTTTCACATATTTTCTGGTTCGGGTTACATTGCGAAATCTCAAGATGTTCTATTCTTTCTTATTTCATTTTTCAAACACATTCTAAATACAAAACTATATTCACTCAGCCAGTGATTCTACTCATAGAGTAGAGCCTAGACTACAGTACATGGCGGCGGGGTGAGGTGCATTGTCAGTAAACGAACGTTTCAGCGCGTGGACGGGTGTAGCTCTGTAGTCAACATATACAACAACATATTTCTTCCCACAGTCGGTACTAAAACGACAGCAGCAACAGGCACCGCACATTTTACCCTAGACACGTTTGTCCGAAAGCATTCATATCGTGTACATACCTACTCATTATTTTCTCGTCTGTAACAGAAACGACGTCACATTTTCGTGGCTAGATCCGACAAAGTTCTTGTCGTGTACACGACCATTCTCATCTTTTCTGTAGCAGACAGGTCGAATTTCTTAGAGTGTACACGCACCCAAAGAAAACATTTTTGATTCGTCGAGTTACATCACTCCTTGAAGCGCACGCGTACCCAACCATAACTTCCTTTATTTTTTTTCATCCTCTGAAGCCACAACTCTAACTGTGCTAATAAATATCAAACAAATAAGTGTGGTTTGTAATACTGCCTAGCATAACGGTTTTCTTTACAATGTTTAAAAGAAACGGTAGCGTTCTATTAGTTTTAAAACTTCTAAATATTAATAACCTCAAAATTAAGTTTATTAGGTAATTACTATCTTAAAAAAGGAGGAGGGAAATAGTGGACAGGTAATTTGTATAATAACCAGATAGAAGGAATCTAAGGAAACATTTGGTGATAAAAAATGGCTCTATAATTAAACATTTTTTACCACTTAGGAAAAGACCATGTACCTAACTCAACTCGTCATGCTCCTGATTTGACCTCCACTACTCGCATAGTCTCTTCATAAATGCAGTACCGTACATCATCCCTTTCTCGATACATTCTGGCTGCCCATAAAGGCATACAGATCTCCATTAATTTTACTTCCGACTTTCATTCTCCGTTCAATATCACCTTCACAGGTACAATCTCTTGACAATAGACTACCCAGATACAATAATTCATTAACTTATTCTAGCCTTCTGCTTAAGGCGAGTCACAGGAGGCGAATCAGGAATAACTTTTTTGCTAGAACAAATGGTTTAGGTCTTTATTATTAAATAATAGTCTTTAAAAAATATACGATATACCTAAGGATATTTGCCTGAAGGATGTGCTAACGTGTAACAGAATGGGATGTACTTTATCAGATCATATCGACCCCTTCTACGTAAAGTATCGTATGTCGAAATTGACAAGTTTATAGGGGAGCGTTTTAAAGTTTTGAATTTACGGACTTTAGCATAGAAATGCTAAAATAAATTGTATATAAATAAATTGACATGCTCATTTCAGTGAATTAAAAACTTTAAAACGCTCCCCTGTGAACTTGGCAATTTCTACATAAAATATGATACTTTTCGTACTAGGGATCGATATAAAAAAACAGCCTAAAACTAAAGCGAATTATTAAAGAATAAAATATCAACTTTGTATTCATACCTAACTTTTATAAGGATATATTTTATCTTTAAGTGCTATAGAGAACCTGCTAAATTTTGGTTTTCAACTGAAGCCCTATTAGTTACTTAATTCATATTTATCCCAAAATTTCCAAAATGCCCAGCGTTTTAACGACACACCGTGCCACTCGCTGCCCCGGACAATTGGGCACTCGTCGACGTCGGATCTGTGTCAAATTTTGTCCGCCTGTTCTTATTTTAGTCGTATTAATTTAGAGAGAGATCTCGGGTATTCGCGATTGTTGCACATAAGAAATGAAATTATTTTTTCGGCTCTGAATCCTATATACACCTATATTAGATTTTCGAACAAACCAACGTTTCGGGATGTTTACACGTTTCATGAACATGGCTGACTATATAAAATAAGTAAATAAAATATCTTTCTCAATAACACATAACAATAAGTAAAAAAAAAAATTAAACGTAATTTTGGATTGTGCAGGTTTGTATCTATTGCTGTAGGTGATAGGTAAAGGACCTTAAGTTCTTTGGAATGTAGATGTTTTTACAAAGATTGCTAAAAATTACGCAATGGTGAAAGACATTAAGTCCTATCGTCGTTTGTTTTTTATTTAACGCTTTTTTTAGCTTAAGGCTGATTTTAAATGTCTTATTAAGAGCCTCATTACCTTTAAAACGCTCTGCAGTTATAATTACTATTTGGCACTTAAGGTTCTTTATCTCAGCTACAGATTTGTAATCGTCATAGCAATAGTTAATTATAATTTTACGGAAATGCGTAACTATAAAAAATGATCTTAATAAGTAGGTAGTAAAAGAAGTTTACCTGCAACAGCTGCTACTAGCAAAATCAATGAACACCATTTGAGGCCCGCCGCCATGTTTAAATAAAAGGTATTATGAATAAATTAAGTAATCTTTTACGTTTATATAGGTAGTGCCATCTAAATCTGATATCAATTTCCCTTAAATAAAAGCGTTCCATCATAATCGTATGATGGAACGGTTTTGATAGCGATTGGTAGTGATCAAATTTAGATAATCGTTTTGTATGGCTATGGAGACAAAGAGAGGAGTCATTGTTCCGGGTGTATTATTATATTTTGCTGTTAATAAACTTTGTTGCTGGTAAAATGTCTCCAGCTTCCTCACACTGTAACCTGTAAACGGGTACTTAGGATAAGGTTTCCTAATAAGGCCAGTATAGCTGTCTAGGTTTTAAGAGTGGTTAAACACGGCACCTTTTAGCAGCGATGCAAACGCGCGATTGCATCGACACAAACGCACGATTGCATCCTACAAATCTCAAGTGTAGCATGCTATCGCGCGTTTATATCAATGCAGACGCGCGCTTGCACCGTTGCTTAAAATCGCGCGCGTGTGTAAAAGTAGACGTGTGTAACCGCTCGGCTTTCGTAGTTATTCATTAAATGATTATCACTAATTACGGGATTCTTACTATGGTTTTTTATTTTCCCGATATTTCGGAATGGTTACACGCTCCATGATCACGGGATGAAATATCAGGAAAATAAAAAGACCTCATAGCGTGGTGGTAAGAAACCTGTAATTAGTAATATTCTTTCAGTATACTTATCAGCTATCATCGAAAGTAAATATTTTGATATCTCCAACATACAAATACTCGTATATATTTGAACTACGTTTCTACGTCTTTAATTGCCGTAATATCTTTCGAATAACGGAAGTTACGATTAAGTATTGTGGTTCAAAATTGAAGTCAAGTCGGAAGTAGTAAAAATTGAGATTCAAAAATGTTTAAATGAGCTCTTGCCGCTGAATTAAAAACATATTATTTTGAAGTGCCAAATATACTTGTGTCGACTGTACGTAGATTATTATGTGAGTAATCTTGATTGTTCAAGATATCGGTAAAGTAAACCTGTGATATATAATTAAACAGATTATATTTTGTTAATCGGTTATTATCTGATATTCTAACACAAATAATTATAATTAAACAGACGTCATATTATAAATGTTGTCGCTACCCATCGAGTATATAACCAGAAATAGAGACGAAATAAGGCCATCAATCCCCGGCAACCCATCAGGAAAATATATCACTTTTAAATATCAACTCTCGTTTGCACAGAAATCACTAACTTAGAAAGCCGAAATAGTAAAGCGCCAACAACTGACCTGTGTGTACGTCTCGAAAATAAAATATTCTGTATTTATTGTAATAAAGTTAATAATGTCTCCGACTATAGGCGTCTAACTTGCATCCTCTGAGTTCTGTAGCCTCATTTCATGTCTCTATTCCATGAGTTGGAGTGTTTTGTCGGAGTTTCTTCATTCTGATACGGTGGGTTTTGAAAAACTTGGACCCAACCGTACGGACAATATCCACCACCATGTTGTTTAGCTCGTTCACATCTATGCTGTTTTCGAGAGCTTCGAAGCGGTTTTGAGTTCGAGTTGAAAGCTCTCGGGGTTTTGGAGTTGTGCAGGTATTGGTCGGAGCGTAGACTTTGTCGAGATCTTTCAAGCCTGAGTGTCGATGAAATCAACCAACATCCGGCCTCTGGCGTTCCGTTGACCAACTCCAAATTGCCCTACTCTCAGCTCTTCACCGCAACGCTTTCCCAACTTTGCATTGAAGTCCTCCATTACAACCGTGTAGTTGGTTTTGTAGCTATGCATGGCTTTTGAGATCTCCTCATACATAGCCTCCACTTCGTCATCTGGGTGTGTCGAGGTCGGAGCATAAGCCTGAATGACATTAACGAATATCGTTTTGATATTCTGAGTATCAGGTATGCCACCCTGGTCGACACACTTCCGATGGAAATCATGTTGTTAACAAGGGACTTGTGGACGATAAACCCGACACCGCCAAGGGACTGTTGGTGGCCTTCCCGGTAGTACAGTAAGTTGCCAGAGTTAAGGATTATCCAGTTCTCCTCCTCTCTTCGGACTTCAGATAGCCCAATGATATCCCAGCGTAATTTACTAATAGCTTCTTTCAATTCTGTGAGCTTTGCGTCGGTCCTCAATGTGCGCGTGTTGTAGGTTGGCAGGTCCAGTCGTCGTCGTTGATGGTAGCCGGGTCTCTCCCGGGGATTCTTCGCACCCCATGCCCTATTGTCAAAGCCGCTACCGTGCCTAGGAAGAGCAGGACTGCCGGGGACTAGGGGCCAATTCTTTGGTGTGTGTACTGTAGGGTGGGGGTTGCCATAATCGCCACGCTTGGCAGGTTGGCGCACGCAGTTCTGCAACCCCGAATGGGTTCCCGCCTTGTCGTGGCTCGGGGGCTCTAGTAGCCATGGTCGATTTCATCTCACGGTGAAGCTAAGAGGAACTCACGAGCCGGCCGATGGACCTAGGTTGGCCCGAGGAGAGCGTCCGCGCGGACGCATGCGGTGAGGCGGGTCGCGGGGGAAGACACATGTCGGTGTGTCGTTGCCGCTCGTCCTATCCTCCGCGACCCTGGAGGGGCTGCACCGCTTAGGGTGCAGATGCAGTGGCGTTGGGGCCGCGGGGGAAGTGAGGTGTCGGTGTGTCGTTGCCGCTCGTCCTTTCCTCCGCGGCCGAATTTAGGCGATTGGCCCGTGCGGTTGGCGCTCCCAGACTCTCTACAGAGAGTCCATATGGATGCGCGTAGGGTGTTGCGGCGGAGCCTACCAACAGATCCGCGGGGGCTGGGCGAGCATACTCTGAACTTCACAGTTGAGGGGATGTTGTCCTGGCCCCGTGGCCCCTGGGTAGTGGACTCGGGGGAGTTCGCTGCGCAGCATGGAGGGGCCCGAGATGGAAGGCTCGTCTGGTGTTCGGCGAGCCTTACATTTGGAGTTGGGGGACCGTTGTATCTCCCCTCTCGGGGTGGGCTGCGCTGGGCGCGGCCAGCCGCTGGTGGAGGCGCGGACGAGCGATAGTGTACCCGTGCCTCTACCTGCAGCGGAGTGGAGGAACACCCCGGGGGTTTCGTGCGGTCGGATTGCTCCCTTTCAGGGTTCAGTTCAGTCCCACATAACCCCGGCTCTGCCCCCGCAGGGCCGGGGTATCTGTAAGCAGATTCCCTCGGGTAATAAAAAAAAACCGCAGTTCCGGCCAAGATGGATAGAAGACGCTGCTGCGTCTTTTTCTGGCAATTTTCCTTTAGTTGCCTTTTACGCCACTCACATAATTAGAACGGGGGTGGTGCTATTCTAGGCTGGCACCACACGGCTATCATTTATCAAGATAATTTATTATTATCAAGATAACCCACGAACATTTTGAAAATTTTTTGTGGGTTACCTTGATTATGAGAAAAGTAAGAGAAGAACTTTTTAAATCTTATTTGTGTTTCTGTAGTGCTCCTGAAGTCTCTTTAAATGGTAAATTCAGGTGTATTTTCCCACATATCAAATATTAGGGGTTAAAGTATGAAATTGCCGTTTCGCACTGAAAAATTAAAATAATTTTTTTTAAGATTAAATATATTTGTTTAATCAAAGTTTTTTCCCCTGTTGTCTATACATTTCTGCCATGTAATCGGAAGGTCATTTAAACCTTTGCGATAGAACTCTGGAGACCTGGACTCCACAGCAGTGTGAAGGGATTTTTGTACTGCTTCCTGGGAATTTTATTTCCATACAAAAAAAATCAAATTGCGGGAAAAAATGGTAGTCGGTAGGGGCGAGGTCCGACGAATATGTAGGATGATGGATAATTTATATCTGCAGGTCTTGTAGTAGTAAAACTGTTTCTCAAGCAGTGTGAGGTGTTGCGTTATCATAGAGCAATAACGGTGAAGCTGTTTTGCTGCGAGTTCCGTCGTCATTATTCAAACGCCATATGTCATATTGTGGGTATGCTAACATTAAACCATGACGTTTCGTGGTAGTTTGATACGGATCGGCTTTCATCATTACCTTCAATTCAACGTTATTTACATTTGTGACTGGTCTTCCTCGTGGTTCTTTCTTCAAGTCGTAATTTGCCGTATTGCCGTATTTGCGTATGCCGTATCCTCTCCAAATACAGCATTGACAGTTTCTGCTACGTTAACTCCATGTGGAAATTCGTATTCGAAAATTAGGTACTCAGATTTTCGCTGTATCTGTCTTCACGTTAAAAGCTGAATGTAAAAACAATTGAAAGTCGAACAATCAAATATCATGTTTTTTAAGTTAAGCATGTTTTACTTTTCGTGTGAAAAACGTTTCACTCTGAAATCGGACACCATACAGGTTTAATTTTAATTTAAAGTGGCCAGTAAAATAAATCGGCAATTTCATATTTAAACCCCTATTATTACCAATACAGTCAATATTATGGAGGATTTACTTTACCTTTTTAAGCAGCAATAGAGCTCCTTGTTAAAAAGTTCGTCCAGGGAAGTACTGCCTCCTTACCTATTTCTGCCGCCAAGCAGTAGGTAATATGAGCATTACTGCGTTCCGGTTTAGAAGGGTGCTGGTGAAATTACAGGTACATGGGACTTGTCAACTTATGTCTCAGGGTGACGGGCGTAGTGGCAGTGCCCATAATATCTTTGCGATTTAAAGCACAGAATGGCATTGTAGTTCTTATGGATAGGCGTGTCGCTTACCATTTATAAAAAAAAAAACCTACATAGAATGGAGGCGACTAGTGCTGCGTGGTGCGAGTGAAGTGATGTCATTATGACGATAACCATTTTGTGAATTTTGGTAATAAATTTTTAGATTGTTTTTGGTTTTAACTCCCCATTTTGTTTAGGTACTCCGCTGAGTGGGCCCGCTGCCCTTGACGACTAAATAAACGGATAATTTATTTATTATTCAATTTGGCTAGTTAATTGCCAAGATAGGGTCCTCAAAACAAAAAAAACTGATGTACCACAAACTTTTAAAGACTAACTATTACGAAAAACATGCACATTATAATATATGGGTTTGAAGTGAAGAAAACTTTTCATAGTTCGCTGTTATGTGTCAGCTTTTTTAAAGCTTTTTAGAAATACTGATGGATTCAAATAAACCCACGTTTCAAGGTTTAAGGGTCGTATTATAGAACTCTACTCAATGCTCAAGCCAGGATTTGAGCAGACTTGAGTATGATTTCAAGCACTGGAAATACGACCCTAATGTAGGGTCGTATTCTAGAACTCTACTCAATACTCAAGTCAGGACTCGAGTATTGCAGTGAGCACTGAAAATCATACTCAAGTCCTTGCCATTACGGTCGTATTTCCAGTGCAATCCTGACTTGAGCATTGAGTAGAGTTCTGGAATACGACCCTAAGAGCGTTTGGTGATGTCGAAAGAATAATGAAAATTCCTTATAATTTTAAGTTGGGCTATTACCATAGTACCTATAATAAGACAAGTAAGAAGAGCAAGCCAGGCAGGACGCTCGACATCCTTTCCAAGATGAGGCGTTACAGACAGCGGTTACAGGCGAGACAGGGGAATCGGCTGTATCAAGCTCAAGTCCGGTCGTGTGTGTAGTATACTGCCACCTATGGGATGGTTTTGCTAAGTATTGTAGCACAGATTGGTTAGGATTGTACTAATTTATAATTAAAATTGTATAAAGAATAGAAGGTTGTTGTCAAATGAACATCGAGAGAGTTCTAGACAAATTTTCAAATTGAACGCTCTCAGTAAATCTTTAATTACGAAATTATTCCTTGTTTATTATTGAAAAGTAGGTACCTCTCACAACGCTAAAACCACGGCTGCGCTCCCACAGTACCAATGGCCACCTTGGATTATGTTGAAAAGCATGCCAAGAGGCTTATAGGTGAATCGGAATTAGTAGAGGTGAAGCTGCAGAGCCATGAACACTGCCGTAAAGTTGCCTGCTTATCGATGTTCGACAGGATATATCACGAAGGGAATTGCACGATTTAATAAGGGACTAGACATAGGCTGGAGTTCCATCCCTATGTTGTGGATATCCCAAGGATTCCCTCATTTATATGGCAAACAGCTATGGAGTGAACGTCCCCCTTTTTTGAAGTCAGTTAAAATAGAAATAACAAAAAAAAAATCAAAGTACTAACGATAGATTTATAAATAAAAAAATATATAAATTTCCTATTTATATTATTTACAATACTAACAGCCAAAGGCTTTTCAACCTTATAAAAACTCCACTCTTGCGTCGAAGTTAAAAATATGTTAGGTAATTCACCAGTTCGGTCTGCCTCGGCATAGGTAGGTAGTCCGAATATATGTACATTCATCCCTTCTGGAACAAATGAATAAGAGAACATTTTCGAATATCAAGCTATATAACACTTTTGTTCGAATATCGCATCCAGTGCAACGGAACAAGATCCGTTAATGTATAGTAAGCTTGATATGCTCCCGTCTGTAATTTCTTTTCTTCATGCAAAATAATAATGTTTATGACTACATTTTCCCACTTGCATACGCGGACATCTCGTTATGACTAGTTAACAGCGACAGTTCTACGCATTTACCAGTTTTCTAGCTTGTAATGCGTATAAAAATACTGTATAGTTAGACCATGACCAGGTGTTTGTCAACAAATTGTAGAAGATCCCGTAAATAATTTCCACGTGACAATTATCTGAAACAAAATTAGTACAGTTATTTTTTCACCCTAAAACCTCTTAATATTAAAACAAACAACTTTTCTTCTACGTCTTTTGAAAGTTCATACAACTTCGGTTTAGTTCCAACAGGAATCTGTGAACATCTAATGCACGTTTTGTGTAGGGAGTCAAAACAAAATGTTTTTATTATATTCATCTAATGACGTCTAAGTCGGTAGTCTAGTAGGTAGTAGTATTTCATAAAAAGGGATACACATTAATTTGATCGCTCTAAAGTTAATAATTAAGAAGAAACACTGCACTTCTATTACCTATAACTAACGTAAGGCAAAAGGCTGAGTGACAAGGTTCAAAAATCTCTCATAAGATGTCGCTTACGGCGTTCAAAGCCGAAAAAACTCAATACAAACATCTATAACACACATATGGAAGAATTTCGTCGCCCTGTTAACTCGACTTGTAGCTCAGTTGGCAGAGCTAGTATACCATGGATGGTTCTAAAACTTCAACAAGTCACATTTTGCAATATATATTTTTACTTAATTTTGTTTGATACAAAAATTATAACAAAAGACTATGTTTAAGGTGATAAATAATTTTATGACGCTGGTAACACAATTGGGATCAAAAACGTTTTTGTGCCGCCATTTTGTAGTATTATAGATGTAATTTGTCTTTAGTTTCTCGAATGTTTTCTTCTTTCCCTAGTGCGTTTGTTAAATTAATTGTGTGTTGATGTTTTTGTTGATTAATATTTTGTATTATAGTCTGTTTCGAAGATTTCCACTTGATATATCATCACTTTTTCCAACAATATTCATTTCAATAGCATCGTAGAATCGTATTTGAAAAATGGTAGTCTAAAAGTGAGATTATTCATCTATACTTCTATAACTTGCCTATGGTTGCATAGTGCTGTTCGAAAAAAAACATTCGGTTCAATCAATTAAAGTTTAGTAATCGATTATTAAATCGAACATTTCAATAGCAATCGAACGAGTATCTAAGTGTAAGGATTTGAAGGAGGGTTTAAATTCAAATTTTGAATATGCTTATATAGGTTATGTAAGGAAAATCGCTATTATGACTCAATTGAACAAATCGATTCATTCAATTAATTAATCTATTTGTAGTTGGCGTTACAATTGGCCATCTCTAAACCGTCTAGTCGGTCGGGTCAGTGACTTGTTTGTTTACTTTTCAAAATGGATTGAAACGAAGTATAGTTATTTAATTGTAGAAAATGAGAACCTCCTACTTATCTAATTCAGTTTAAGTAGAAGGTTTAGCACACCTGCATTCACACATCGACAATGAAATTTAATGACGTTTCTTTGTTTACATTTTAGACATCTAATTATGATTCATACTACAGTTTCAGTTTTATTGTTAAGCAAAATAAGCGTAATTGACGTTTTTCGAAGAAAAAAAAACTTCAGGTGCTTCGTCAATGTCTCGAAAGTTACCAAATTACAAAGTGTTACTTATAACAAGGAGGGCAGAACAGATGCTGCAAGTGTAAAATAGCACTTATTCCCAAAGCAGTTGAAGTTTTTAAATTATGTGAGGACAACTATTTCGAAGTTAATTGTGTGAGTACAACTATTTCGAAGTTAATTGTTTGTCGAATTAAAATTTCATGTATATGTCTAAGAGTCAGAAGTAAAAATTAACAAAGTTGCCCCTTTCCGTTTATGTCAAGGCTTGGCAAGACAACACTTACTTCTTTCAAGTAATAACGTAAGATCATTAGCCGTAATAAATTTCTCAATGTCATGTGTTCCTTTTGGGGTGATCTTAAATATATTTTCAGCCATAAATATCACTGCGAATTCGGCACATTTAGTTTTACTTGGTGTTGTAAAAAATATGCGTCCGCCTGGCTTTAGCACTTTTATACAAGATTGAACGAAAACATCTTTATTGTTGACATGCTCGACAATTTCTGATGCCACTACACCATCATATTTGTTTTCGTTTTCTGTTGCATGGTCCTGGAAAGAATAAATAAATAATAAAATGTACATTGCATTATAATTGTGTCAAATTGTAGTCTCAAAATATAGAGCACACACATAACTGTATCTGACTACGCAATACCTTAGAACACTTTTCAGAACATGCACATGTAGAAATCTTTTATATTATACGAAAACTGTTAGTCACTGCACTAATGGAATTAGAAATTAGAGAAAATATTTAATAAAATACAAAACTATTAAACAAACTTACCTCAATACTCGTGCAGATATAAGTTGGTTGATTACATATTAGCTTTGCGTCAGCTTGACTGTGTTTTCTCGCATATTCTATTAAATCATTGCTAGCATCGACACCTGTTACATGTGCACCGAGTCTGGCTAAAGGCTGTAATTAAACGCTATTGTGAGAGGACGATTATTGATTTATGTCATTAAATGTCTATATAAAATTATCATTAATCCAGGCCGAACTGCCTCCACATACCATTTCAGATTGTGTCCCTTTTATGGAATAATAAGCGCCCAGTTACACGATAAGAAAGCTTTCGCGCGGCCGCCGCGCGGCGACCGCCCAGTTACCACGCCATCATGTACATTAATGGCGAATCTGAATTCTATTTATTATGCAACAACATTTAAATTCCTCTCAATAAAATTACCGCGCGGGCCGCCGTGTAGATCAAATTCAAGCCAGGCTAGCCCGCGTGCCCGGAACGCTCATTTAAATTAAAAAGTAAAAGCTAAACAAATAGAGCGTATTTTGCCATGACAGACGCACGCGGTCCGCGGACCGCGCGGTGTGAGCGCGATGAAATTTGTATTGAATAAATGCGCCCATAAGCTTCTTTACTTTCAATCTATATTGTCTATAATATTTATATATGTAATCTATATTATTGTAAAATGTATACAACATTTTACAATAATAATTAGTTGCAATGACACTTATTACCAAGTTCTTTCATTGACTCCTATCCTAGGCAATATCTAATTAGTTTTCCCAACTGTTTTGGCGATAGAAAGCTCAAAAAAGGTGGACTGATAACAAAATGTGTTCCAAACTGCACCATTATAATAAAAGTTTAGTTCCGTATGTTCTTACATATTCATTAAGGAATAAAACTGAAATTCTGACATTTGAATCCACAAAAATGTTAAACATATATTTTTTTCTTTGTGTCCTTACCTCTGACAATATACCTCCTCCGCAACCGACATCTAGTATTTGTTTATTCTTAAGTGGTTCACTACATCTCTGACTGGACTCATTCATAATTAGACCATCTCTGACAAATGGTACCCTGCGAAACAGAATTATTAACTTTTAACAAAACAGTGTCATTGCATAATAGACTAAACAATATTGTTTTTTGATCTATTCTTAGATATAACATTGCAGATTCTGTTTTAGGGCCATTCCAAAGTGAAGGGTGGGACATTTTGACTTCTTTTTTCTTGAACTGTAAGTAATTTCTCCCTAAACATTGGTTAATTAGACTTCCAATGAAAATATCATGAAGCCAGATATGCAATTCAACTGGGACTATTTATTTACATAAATTTATGATATTACTTATATTCAAAACTTTTAATTTTCTAAGTGTGACGGGTGGGACACTCACTCACTCATTCACTCATTGCCAAGATCAAGACAAACAATTAATATTTTGTTCAGCAAGTTTTTCATATGAGATAACTTGAATGTTAAAGTTCTGTTTTATATATACACTTAATTAATAACTTTGATAAATTTTAAGGAAATTAATATGTTAAGTTGTGACAGGTGGGACGAGTTATAATTGAATACACAGAATTAATAAAATTACACTGTTTAATATGAGATCCATCCTTAATAAACAAATATTTTATAATTTTTGTCTTATTAAGACTTATTAAGACATTTTAACATAAAAAAACAGAATTAAAGAACTGATAAAGTAATCGTATTTTTTTTTAAACACTATCTATGACGACATGAAATGAAAGTCACGCATGTAAAATGCGTTAATAAATTTGAAAAATCGTGTCGCATCTTTGAACATTATTATCATATCAAAATATATCAATTTTAGAAGTTTTGCTCGAATATATAGTTAAAACTAGTGGAGACAGATTTTACATGAATTTCCTGATACTAAAAATCATCAGGAAAAATGTTGTCACTTTTTAATCTTTTTTTATGTGTTAAAATGAACTGTAATAAATTTGCTTTAATGATGGATCTACATATAAATGATAATATCGACTCATCCGAAGAACAAAGTCCGATGTGATTATATAGCGAAAAGAGAATAAGTACGTTACGAGAATAATTTCGTTATTCAAACTAAGGCCTATGTAAAGGTGTTATGAGAATTTACATATCTTATTTCATTACGGAAATATAAAAACGAACAACGGTCGATCTGACATCCACAGCGAAGAAGAACGAACGAAATGTACTATGTCTTGAGAACAAGTAGTCTTGCACATAGGTCTTTGTTCTACGGATGAGTCGATATGTATTTAAAAAAAATCTATGTATTCAAATGTAACTTGTCCCACCTGCCACAAAATGGTGTCCCAATCGTCACAATTTAACACATCAAATGTTAAACTCTGAAATTAAAACAACTGTTACACCTAGCAAACATCGTAAAAACTCGAATCCATGAAAATACAAACATTTATTCAAAGTAAAAACGTTTAGAAGTGTGTCCCACCCATCGCTGTGACGGGTGGGACACTTTCAAATCTTAATATTTACATTCCTATTTACGTGCACAATGTCCAACCAAACCAAACTAATGACCCTTAGCATAATTGTTACTTTAACAAAAGCAAATGCCAATAGATTGCATATTTTTTCGCTAAAATAAAAATATATATGTTTCATTGTGAAGGGTGGGACTTGAAATTAGTATTTATTGAAACTTTAATAACTCCTCACCATATATACTTCCATGCAATCACATAACCCTTTCGAACCTGGCCATACACGATTGATTGGTTTATAAGAACAATTTTCCAACAGAAACTCTTCTACCTATCTGAAATTGTATTTTCTTCGACAGTAATAACTTTTTTAGAAAGACGCACAAATAACCGCGAAAATTGTTGCTAACATTATAGGAAAAAATGACGACAGCACTATGGCTGCGTATTTTTTGTCTTCATTAAGACAAAAAAAAATACAATAATTGTACAATATCCGAAAAATCTCATTTATTTCTAATGATTTGATTTGTTGGGCGTATTCTAGTCATACAATTAAAACCAAATTGTGTAATTTATTTTTTTGAACCGCGCGGTGTCATTTTCGCTGGAATGACCCTGTAATTCTTTTTTTATTTTATTTTAATAATTATTTAAGCTCTAAATTCATTCAAACAGCGACCTGTGAATGGCCCAAGCTAGCAAGCAAGCAAGGAGGTTCCTTTTGTGTACCTCATACAATGGAATTGATACATACCTTATTAAGTTAAAAGAGTGTAAAGCCTTCATAGGTCCATTGACATTCCACCACTCTTTTGTTTCTTTTGTGTGAAGATCAACATCACTTTGATCTACTGTAGACTTAGAGCTCATACTCTCTTTTAACGCATAACAACGAAGACTTTGCGACGTGTGGATTTTATTATTTAAGTTAATGTTTCTGAAAGATGAAAAAATATTTATATGAAATTGTTAGTATTTCCACCTCTCTATTTAAAAATAAGTCATGGCGAACACTTGGAAACGGGAATAAACGCGTTTACATACGAATGGGTATTTTTCACACCTACCTAGTTTCCCGACGTAAAAAATCGCCAATGTAATAAGTCAGCTATTGCAGAACATTTACTTGAAAAGGGTACAAATCATTAGATTGAGTTTCATCGTATGTAGATTCTCTTCACCGATCGTCACTTTAATTCAAGAGTTGTACGTGAAGCGATTGAAATAAAAAAACACCCTAATAATTTCAATCGGGAGGATGGTTTCAAATTATCTGCAGCATGGAATCCGGTGTTTGCAAAAACTCAATGTTCGCGATCGACTGCGTACCAGAATATAGCTGTGATATAGAATAGGGACATCGTTAGTGTTGTGTGTGGCGGTAGTTTAAAAAATGTTATGCGGGTGGATGAAGATTCCACCGCCGAGATGGAGACGTAAATACTGCATCATCAGTCAGCCTGATCACGACCAGTGCAACCTGGCCGAAACGTCGGGAAACGAGGTAGGTGTGAAAAATACCTTTTCATATGTAAATGCGTTTATTCCCGTTTCCAAATGTTAGTACAATGCAATGCGAAAGTTTAAAAGTATATAAGTCATGGCGAAACTTAAAACCTATATTTTCATTTCCAAAATCAATGGTTATTAGGTCATCATCATTAATTCAGCTAAAAGACGTCCACTACTGAACATAGGCATCCCCCAAAGAACAACCGGTCTTGTGTTACTTGCATCCAGTAGATTTTCGCAACCTCCACCAGGGCATTGGTCCACATTGTGGGTGGTCAACACACGTGGTACGTGGTCGCCACTCGAGATATCTTTGGCCCCATCGGCTATATGTTCTGCGAACAATGTGCACTGCAAACTGCCACGTAAGTTTTGCAATTCTTCAGGCTATATCGGTTACTCTGGTTACCTTGCAGCTTTGAACCCTGTCTACGGCTGATCTGGGTTCAGGATCTTAACTTATACGGTCCCTATGCTCTTCATTACGAGAATAATTTCGTTATTCAAACTAAGGCCCATGTAAAGGTGTTTTGAAAATTTATACAGGTTTAATTCGAGATGGGGCAGCAAGGCCAGCTACCTTAATTGTTGTAATTACAGGAAAACAGTTCTAGAAGACTATCCATGAATTTTGAAGATATTTTGATTGGCATTCACAGATTTTGAAAAAATGGTACAGTCAACCAGATAAAAGGCAATTTTTACAAAACTTTTTTTTATGCCTATCGATCCGGTCTCTGGTAAGGATCAATAGTCTCTATGGGACCAACTGAGGTAAGAGTACTCGAAATGGCAGAAATCGCAAAAATCTTTTACCACACATTTTAAATAAAAAGTTTTTGTTAGAAACGAAACTGGCCACTACTCTACAAATAAGAGTTAAGTAAAACCAAATCATAATCACATCACTATTTTTTAAATTTGGAACAGCTTTGTTTTGTTTTGTTAATGGAGAATTGTCACTTTTAAGACGATTTTTAATCAAAATGTTCTCAAGTGAGGAAACAAATTAATTGGAACACATGGTCCTATCAAATGGCCACCGCGTAATCCTGATCTGACGCCTCTTGATTTTTTCTTTGGGGCTATGTAAAAAATTAAATTTATAAAAAAATACAACAGTGTTCAAGAATTGAAAGACGCACTTGCAGCAATTTTTAATAGAATCCATCTGAGTAGAATTTCAGCTGCTACTTGCTGTTTGCGGAAGAGAGCGAATTGATGCATCCGTCAATCAATTCGAGCATGTACTATCATAGACTTATTATGTTATTTTGCTTTTCGTTATTGTTTTTATTTTGAATTACATAATACGTTGTCAATTTGTTAGTTTCCTTATTGTTAGTTACCTTAACTACCTAGAATAACTGATTACTGAATAGGTGCCTACAAAATGTATGGTAAAGTTTTTTGCGATTTCTGACATTTAGAGTACTCTTACCTCAGTTGGTCCCATAGAGTCTATTGATCCTCACCAGAGACCGGATCGTAAGGCATAAAAAAAGGTTTTGTAAAAATTGCCTTTTATCTTGCTGACTGTACCATTTTTTCAAAATCTGTGAATACCAATCAAAATATCTTCAAAATTCATGGATAGTCCTTTAGAACCAATTTCCTGTAACTACAACGATTAAGGTTGCTGGCCTAGCTGCCCCATCTCAAATTTACGCCTTGTATACCTTATTTTGTTTCAGAAATATAAAATTAAACAACTGTCGATCTGACATCCACAGTGAAGAAGAACGAACTATGTACTATGTCCAGAGAATAAGTAGTCTTGCACATAGATCTTTGTTCTACAGATGAGTCAATGTGTTAAATTTTGAATATCACTGTTTTATAAACAAGTGCAGTAACATAAAAATGATAAATACTCAGAATACTAGACCAGGAATGGTCATTGGAGAGATTGAGATACTCTCTGTATTCTCAATAATAAGTTACTCATTTTAGAACAATAAGTACATACATAAAACAATCTATTTAAATTTTAAAACTTAATCTGAATAAGAAAAACACGTTAACATCTAATACACCTTTACAATGGGGAAGTACAAAAATTGTTGAATATTGACAGTGTCACCAAATAAATGTGTACAATACTTACACATTTATTTAGTGAGCCAACAAGGAACACAGGGGTTAAAAAACAATACAGAGGCAGTAACAAAACAACCATTGTTATAAATAAAAAAACTTACATATTCACCAATATGTTTCTTAAAAGCCATTGCGTACTTCTTATTTTGGCAGTCATGCTATAAATTTATTTTGTCTGAAATTATTGAAAAAGAATTGAGTTATTCCTATTACATATTTTAGGTTATGCGAACATTCGCATCGCTAATTTTTGTCGAAATATATACTTTTGTTTTCATTTGTTAACAAACAAATATTGTTAAGACCATATCGGGTTCTTTAATAGGCTATTGCGATTGCTACGTATTGGAAATGAAACTGTATATTTCGGTCGTCAAACGTTAGGTTTGTTTGAATATACAAATATACACGACTTGGTTAAGACCATTAAATTCTTAAAATAATGAAGATTTTACCTGCAAAAACAAATTATATTAAAAAGTAACAAAATATTTCGTAATTCGAGACAGCGGCGGTATACAGATCTTTTGACAGTGATGTACAGTGTGACCAGATTTAAATTGATGATCCTGCAAATTCCTCCGTTAAAAACTGCTGAAATCTGGTAAACCTTTTTGATAAAATTATTCTAACGAATAATGACTCATATTTTCATTGACTTACAAATAAATGGACGACGGGTCTAATACAAAAACCACGAAAAAAATGTCCCAAGTCAACCTATTCGAAATTTAAATTGTAATGTCATCGCAGTATCGCGCCGTCAGTCGAACAAATGAAGACTAAAGCGGAGTTTGGCGCTCTGTATACGATTTTAGCGCCTTACAAGTGCGGACACTTTTTAGCGCGGACCCGACGTCCATATAATTGTAAGTCAATGCATATTTTGTATAGAAATAAACTCCACTTGTATGTTATATAATCATCGTTTAGTCAATATAATAAAATTTACATAGCATATTTCCTACCCTTTTCAGCATCTCGTCCCAAATTTGGAATACTTACAAGGTAAGTGGAAATATAAAAAGAGGACAATCTTTTTTTATGTAATGTATTTTTTTTATTACAATCGTATATCCCAAAAAGCTTAAATATATATCTGAACATAGTGTGACACGGACATTTGCCTATCATGCCTGTTGATTGGTTGTTTTATTAAATCCTGCTAAAAACTGTCAAAATCTGCTATAGGCCTTAAATTTAGAAACTTTGAACGGTCCATTCACTACTTGCTTGGCAGTCCGCCGCGCCGCGCATGCAGGAGACTGCTCTGACACTATGTTGCGTATGGTACACGTATGAAGTTTAGCACGACGCATTGCAGGATTGCAAGATGGCTTGCACGCTGCCACTACATTCATAATCCTGCATTACGCGGCGGACGCAAGGCGGACTGCAATGCAGGATGACGAATGCCCCTTTATCCTTCTAGATTCGCAGGATCCTGCGAAATCTGGTCACATGGGTGCTATAATTGTCAGTTTCAAATATTTTAAATGATTATCATCATTGGACATTATTCTCACAGGACATTGGCGTAATCGCCATTTTTTTTGTATAATTTTTATAATAATATTAAACTACCGTACATAGTTATTTTTACTTGACATTGGCAAAATCATTGATTATTTCGATGGAGCCATAACATTTAAAAGAAGAAGAATGATTACCTATCACTAATATCAGGGTTCTTACCACCGTATGACTTCTTTTTATTTTCCCGTTATTCCGGAACGGTTTCACGCTCCATGGTCACGGGTTCACTGGACGGCGGCAGATGACAGCTTTAAGAGCAGACATATGAGTGCATCGACGTTATCAAAGTGAAACTTCAAGAAAATATCCCAATGGAGATTGCTCAATTACTTGAACATTGCTTAAACACGAGCTACTTCCTGTACAATCGCCAGTACTACCTTCAGATTGATCATCAGGGTGTAGCGATGGGCAGTCCCGTTGCTCCCATCATTGTTGCCAACATTTGGATGGAACACTATGAACACGCCGCCATTCTGTCAGCACCATGAACAATAAAACTATGGAAGAGGCTTAGAATAATAACGCATAGAATGATAGTTTCATATCAAACGAACTGTCACAAGTGAGGCAAAAACCAAATTCATGTAGGGGTAAACAACTTGTAACTACGCTCGTCGGCACGCACACAAATATACAAATAATGATGCCATGGAATAACATTTCCCTCAAAAGTGGGGAAATTGTATCTTGCTTAACTCATCATTAAGTTAAAGGTGCCTACAGATTTGCCCGACATTGTCGATCAGGTGCCTACAGATGTGCTCGATTTTGTCGATCGACAATGTCGATCAGGTGCCTACAGATATGCTCGGTTTTGTCGATGAAAAACGAATATAGCACTTATTTGTAAATCCAAGATGGCGGACACGATTTTTCAAAATATGCTATATGGGTATCCTTTTGAATTTCGTAATGAGCATCCCCAAATACCGAGGTATTTGGGGATGCTCATTACGAATATGGCACTCATTTCTAAATCCAAGATGGCGGACACGAGTTTTCAAATAAATGCAATATGGGTATCATTTTCGAGGTACTTGGGGGTGCTCATTACGAATATGGCACTCATTTCTAAATCCAAGATGGCGGGCACGAGTTTTCAAATAAATGCAATATGGGTATCATTTTCGAGGTACTTGGGGGTGCTCATTACGAATATGGCACTCATTTCTAAATCCAAGATGGCGGGCACGATTTTTCAAAAAATTGCTATATGGGTATCATTTTCGAGGTATTTGGGGATGCTCATTACGAATATGGCACTCATTTCTAAATCCAAGATGGCGGACATGAGTTTTCAAATAAATGCGATATGGGTATCATTTTCTAGGTACTTGGGGGTGCTCATTACGAATATGGCACTCATTTCTAAATCCAAGATGGCGGGCACGATTTTTAAAAAAATGCTATATGGGTATCATTTTCGAGGTATTTGGGGATGCTCATTACGAATATGGCACTCATTTCTAAATCCAAGATGGCGGACACGAGTTTTCAAATAAATGCAATATGGGTATCACTTTCGAGGTACTTGGGGGTGCTCATTACGAATATGGCACTCATTTCTAAATCCAAGATGACGGGCACGGTTTTTTCAAAAAAATGCTATGTGGGTATCATTTTCGAGGTATTTGGGGATGCTCAATGTGAATATGGCACTATTTGTAAATCCAAGATGGCGGGCACGATTTTTCAAATAATGGCAAGTTGGGTATCGTTTTCGAGGTATTTGGGGGTGCTCATTACGAATATTGCTTTTGTTTGAACTGTCGTGTTTGCCATCTTGGATTTAGAAATGAGTGCCATATTTGTATTGAACATTCCCAAACATCTCGAAAACGATACCCAACTTGCCATTATTCGAAAAATCGCGCCCGCCATCTTGGATTTAGAAATAAGTGCCATATTCGAAACCTAAAACCGAAAATGCCATAAGCAAACATTAAAGAAAATAACTGTTAAAATAGATTAAAAAATCGCTTAAGAATGCTCCTCTCCTCCTTTTAAGAAAATAAAATATTTCAATATAAAATATTTCGCTTGAGTTACGAAAAGAAAGACATATAATAAGCTATCAAAGTTGTACTGGTGGTGCCAACACTATAGTAGAAACAAATATATACTGTACATTTGTTGCAATATGTGCTCCTATTCAAATAAAATTAAAAGAAATAATTATTCAATAAAGCATGAACGCAGAGCCGTTAAAAGTATTATAAAATAATTAAGTGTCCCAATCACTTACAGGAGTTAACGAAAACATTTAATGTTTATTCAAGTAAATATTAGTTCAAGATGCGCAAATAAATCGAAATTACAGGCACCATTAAAATTTACGTAATATAATTATTTTGATACAGAATAGCAAAATGGGGAGAAAAAAAAATTCGTTACTTTGCAACACTTTCGTATCTTGTTGCCGCGAAATTATTTTTCTGTTTTAGTGAATAATTACATAAAAATATGAGTTGAAACGCATTACTTACTTGTGGAATGTGATGTTAGTGTCTATTTTATGTTTGTCTGTTCTATTTTTACACCCATAAACCGCACATTTCGTCATTTTTAGCAAAAATTTGGAGCTGTTCGCGGTGCAATTTGACCTTGAGCACTAACAGCCCGCGCGCTCCTGGGAGCCCGTTAGGAAGCCTTTAACTTGCCTCACTTATGTCCACTTGCACTAAACTTAAGTATGTCTTAAACCAATGCTTAAATTGATAAGACACTCTTAACACAATGTATTAAGGGTGTCTTTTGCATGGCAATTATTGGTTTAAGACGTACCTAGGTTTAGTGCAAGTGGACATTAGCGTGTGCGGGCTAGGTTTCTATGCGTTATTATTCTAAGGGAAGAGGTATGTTGATGACGTATTTTGCGTAATGGAAGGAAAGGAGCTACCTACATATACAAAATTATTTAGCACGTCTTAACAACACCCATAACAAAATGAAGTTCACTTGTGAACTTGAGAAAAATCGCGCGTTTGCACTTTTTGCTGTATTGGTCAAAATCCGACAAGACGGTTCACTCGGTCATTCCGTCTACAGAAAACCAACTCACACGGACAAATAATTACATGCCACTTCACATCATCACCCAAAACACCTACATTCGGTCGTCAGGTCATTAACCAATATAGCTTAAGATCTTTGTGATGCACACCACCTACCACAGGAACAGGAGCATGTTACGACGGTTTTGCGACAGAATGGATACAAAATAAAAACATTTAAACCAATACACAAAAGGAAGAAGCAAATTGACATACAGATACAACCGTTTTCTGCCCTATACACAAGGGGTGACAGATAAAATAGCCAGGTTGCTAAGAAAGTTTTCCATAAAAACTGTTTTCACCCCCTTAACCAAAATAGGAAAAATGTTACGTTCACCAAAAGACCACCTTTCTTTACAAACACCGGGTGTCTATAAAGTAAACTGCAGTTGTGGGAGCTTGTATATCGGTCAGACTAAACGAACAATTGTCGATCGTATGAAGGAACACATTCGAGCAGTAAAAAACAATGATGCACAGAAGTCGGCTATAGCACAACATCTCACACAGACTGACACTAACCACAGGATCGAGTTGCATAGCCCCCAGGTACTCTCGACAGAATGTCACTACATACCACGGTTAGTACGAGAAGCCATCGAGATCACGAAGTACAAAACATTTAACCGTGATGATGGTTTTAAACTGTCCAGTGCATGGAATCCGGTGCTTAGTGCGTGCAGTAATAAAAACAAAAACACCTCGAGTTCAATTTCGCGTGTGGATACAGTGAGTGTGGTTTGTGTGAAAAAAGTGAGTGACCATGGTAACGCCACAACAAATCGTTATGAAGGTAGTCGTCGACAGCGCAAGAGGGTAGACTAGAGATGGGAAAACTGCTTATTTTTTTAAACGTTATGCTTTTTTAAAAAAAAGCGTGCTTTTTTAAACGCTTTTTCACTTAAACGCTTTTTGGTTTGAAGCTAACAAAATCGTTTAGGAAATGTTTAAGCGCATAGACTTTTATGTTAAAAAAAGCTTGCAACGTTGTAGTGTTGATAGCGAAACGCAAGAGTAGACCACTAAAGGTTTTAGGATAAGTAAGCTTTTTTGTAAAAACGAGTTGCATTTGTAACATAACATTACTATATTAACATTTTGTTCATTAGCGTTTAAAAACATAAGTTGTTTAATTTTGTAGTTGTTAGCCGTTGAAATGGAAAAAACTGCTAATTTTTTAACGTTCAAACGTACACTTAAAAAGCGTGCTTGTAAAAGCGCTTTTCACTTAAACGCTGTTTGGGTTGCCGCTTAAAAAGTCGTTTAAAAAGCATGCTTGTAAAAGCGCTTTTCACATAAACGCTTTTTAGTTTGACGCTTAAAAAGTCGTTTAGGAAAACGTTTAAGCGCATAGACTTTATGTTTAAAAAAAGCTTGCAACGTTATGTTGAATTAATTTGTTTAGGAAACATAGATGGCGCTACTTGAAACTTAGGCACGTTGTAAAAAATGAAATTATTGAGTATCTATAGAACTGGCCAGTGACCAACGCTTACGCCTAAAATGAATAGCGTGCTTATGCACTTACTTTAAAACGCAGACTTTTTAAAGTGCTTTTCGTTTAAACGTCCACCTCTAGGGTAGACAGGTGATGTCTGCTCTTAAAGCTGTCATCTGCCGCCATCCAGTCAACCCGTGACCATGGAGCGTGCAACCGTTCCGAAATATCGGAAAAAAAAGAAGTCTTACCCTGGTAAGAAACCTGATTTTTTATTTTATTTTATTTTATTCAATGAACAAAGTTTCAACAGCATTCTTATACTTATTTGACAAATGTGTTTAAGCAGTACAAAAGCCAATTACAGAAACTCACTATGTATACAAAACATGTGATATTATTATTACAACATTGGGTAGAAAAATAAATTTAAATTGGTACAATAAGAACTGAGTTTACAACTAACTGTAAATTACTGATATCAATTGTCGTGTATAGGTCTGTGTAAGTATATGTGTGTGTATGTGTGTATATGTGATGGAGCGTGAGTGTCTAGTTGGCCTCCCCCTATTTCCTCAGAGAATGTGCTAGGCAGGTAAAACTAACAACGAAAGAAACTGCTCGCATCGTTAGTGCTTGCAACTCGGCTTACATGGCGCACGAAATCGACGCAAATAAAACTGTTTAAGAAAATAAGTTAAATTAAAATTTATTACACTGATATTAGTAATAATCATTTAGTGAATAACCTCGAAAGTCTTAAAATCTACGAGGCAAGATGTTTTGGGGCTGTCCAACACCATGTTCTTTAACGATTTACAGTTGAGCATATCATAATAGAAGACGGCCTGACAATAATATAGTTTCTTTCGCGATAAACCGTATTATGAAATAACCAAGCATATCATGATGTGCGCAATTCTATGAATGCCAAATACAAACGTAAGGAGAAATTGTACGTTTGCGTTATTTTGGAGTATAAACATTATTAAATATTTACATGGGCCAACCTTAACCATACATAAAAAAATAATCAGCGCTACGCAGTAAAAATACCATTTAATTCAACTAGTCAATGTAAACGTATCCGCTTCGTGGAGCAGGATCTATAATAATTTGTATATTATGTTTACTTAAAACTAAGACTAGGGACAAATGAAGCGTAATAAAACAGCACAACGTGATGTCGCTTAATTACGACGAATAAATAAAATATTGTCGGCTCAAATTATAATGAAATGAAAGATAATAATATTGGGACCAACATTATGAATTTTAAATAACATGAACGGTTTTGTACCTTATAATATTAAGTTAACATTACATGAACCTATATTATACATTCCACTGCTCGGCGGGAGTCTTTCTTAAGGATAGGGTTTTCACCATACTTCAGCACGTTCACGTTGGCCCAATGTATGTCAAAGAAGGAATACTTTGTTCCTACCGGGTAATAACAATGATATCCGTGTGCAGTCGGTGTCTGATACCGACCTGACGTAGTCAAGCGTTTCACATTTGGTGGGTTGCGACCCGGCACCGGGCGATCAAAGTAAAATACCGGGTCGCAACATTCCCGCCTTGTTGAAGTGGAACCAGACCTCAGGATAAAACTTTCGTCATTTTCCGTCATACCGAAATAATATTAGTAAAACATTTTTACTAACAATAAAAGTGTATTATTTTACTTAATGTAACCAGCTTAGGTTTAAAAGTATTGAATGGGTCACGAAGAAGCTGTATGAAAATTACCGGGCCATGGCAGAACAATTTTGGGAAACACTGCCCTAGGTGACTACTATTGGTTTTGAAAGCCTTCTTATGCATTCAACAGAAAGGTGGAAAGAAATTACAAGCTTTGTGGTTAAAATTCGTATTTACCTAATGTAATTAGAGATAGAATTACTTAAAAAGCTTCTTAAAACGTCATTCACTAACGATGCAACATGGAAGTCATACCAAAATGTTTCACTACTAGCTGGTTAAAAGTTTGTTTAACACTTTTCTTCACACTTATCTACTCAGAACCAAATGGTCGGTTAAGGGGTCAGATATCTTGGTACATCGACTGTACTATATTTTGAAGTCTTTGAATAACATATGTTAATATTTGTTTATTTCAGTTGGTTATATATAGAAATACTTAGAAAATAGTATTAGATGTACTGACGACCTGGGGACACGTTATCATGACGAGTCGTGTGACGTCGTTGTCTACATTTAGCTTTGTTTATAATATATGTATAATTAATCTTGCAATTTATAATGAAAAGTTTGATGACATCGAAGAAATAGACATAGCCGTCTCAACGAAACTATTTTTTGTACCTATTTAGTAGATTTTAAAAACAACGTCAAAACAATGTCAAAATTAATGTCAAATAGTAAAATTATTATAATAAAGCCTATGACGAAAATAGTTTATGCATAGAAGAAAGTATACTTACGTGTGAATGTAAGAATGTACAATACATTAATGTTTAATTATAGAACTGTAAATTCCCTTGCCTCAATTTAGACAAACGTAATGAGTAAAAGCACTCCAGGGAAAGAAGTGAATACTTTGGAAAAAAGTGGTTTTGTATTGACATTTGCAGTGGAAATACTTGGCCTTGACATATGGCATGACTGTAAAGAGGGTTGGTTAGATTTGGGGCCTTGTGTTCAGGGACTGAAGTTTCAATATGAGTTGTACCCTGGGCAATTTTATGACATTGATGTTTTAATATGGCCTCATACTGTTAAGGTAATTTGCATTTAAATTCAATGAGGTTATATTTAGTCGCAGCGCATAATGTGTCAAGTATTACGGCATTAATGTGTATAAACATTATGTTTAATAAGTATGTTTCTGCCATTGTAAGCCTCAGAATTTATTGATCGTTTTGGTCACTCACTCAAATTGCGTCACGGTAATCAGCCTTTAACTTTAGAAATCTTATTATTATGTGACATTTCACGGACCATCTAAAACGGTACATAGATCTAATTATCGTAGCCATGGATACGGTACCTACTTAGAAAGTGCAAACATTTATAAAAAAACATAAAAACAAAAATTATAAATAACAACTAACAACGTATAAATAAGTTTGATTTTAATTTTCTTCACGTTTTGTAATGAGTTACATCGGTATTAAATATATTTTTTTAAACTGTGAAGGTTTTTTATCGGCAGAAATAGTCTAAATGTAAATTATTATGCTGTTCTCGTAACAGCTATGATTAATCATAAAAAAAGAATTGGAGTAATTTTTAATCATTACCACTAACCAAATATTAAAAAACTTAGTTTAAATTTATTTAATAAAATCTTGAGTGGCACTTGTATTAGCACTACAATAAACTAAATTTAGCAAAATATACAAATAATAATTCAGCTACGTCAGAAATAGTCGGTTTTTCTTTTGCATTGGCATTTGTGAACTGATTTTGATGATTTTTTTTGTTGGAAAGAGGGTACCTCAGATGTGGTCCCATTTAAATTTGAAGAAAATATTAGAGGTGTCTAGGGGTGGCAAATTAGGGGATGAATGACTTTTGAGGTCGGTTTTTTTAGTACTGTGTATTGTTTTTATTTCTTATATCTATGGTACGGACCTATTATAACCCAGTAAGTCTTTTATGTATTCATGCGTTTGGCTTTTCTATTCAGATATGGTGCGGAAGTGAGTTTGGTTGGGTGCGAACGTGGCAATATTTGGAAAGAAGGTGGTTTACCTTTTCTATCCGCCACGCGTTAACTGTCAGGGTGACTGAGCTACAAAATTTTAAAATGATCATTACACCCACACTTGGATTTAATGATTTGGGTGCTGTGTAAGTAACAACTATCTCAGCATAACCACGATTTTTAACATCGGGATCTGTCCAGGGACTGGGCAGCTAACTGCATGTGATATCAACCGTCAAATATATACTTGTCAAGTGTGGCTTTTTTTAAACATATTAAAGAAGCCTTTGTATGTCAGCATTGGAATATGTTCCAAGTTTATGGCTAATATTGTTAGATTTGGAAATGGTGAAACTTAATTCTCACCAGTCTTTTTATTCTAGTGCAAGAGCTGATAAGAACGAGGAAGCTTTTCTACCGCCACTTCAGTTTGGACAAAAACGCTACTTTGGCGAAGTGTGGCCGTTCATTGAACCAGAGAAAACGAGGCTTTTAAATTTTATTCGGCAGTTGATATGGAGTGGTGTTGCTGAATATATTCCGTGTTCTCCTTTAGAGGGAGTGTTTAATACGCCCCAAGTCGTTTCTGGTATACTTGAGTAATTTTATTGTATTAGTTTCTGATGTTATCTGTGTATTGATATCGTCTATCACTATTCTACTTATATTGATAACAATATCTGACGTTATAATTAATAAGCGTTAAAAATGCAGTTTCAAAAGTGACAGTACAGCCTAACGTGTAGATGAGTGTTCGATAGGTGGTATAATTTGAATAAAGAGTTAGTGTAAAGGAAAGTTTTGAGACGAAATCTCTAGTTTATTTAACTTGAAACTGAATTCCTAATCCAATTGTTATTTATCCAAAAATTAAGATCATGCTATGAAGTCGATGCGAAAAAATGCGATAGGAAAATGTATAGCTAAAGTAAGGTTTGGCCCTTCACTCCAATGCAAGATGACTTAGAAACAAACTTTGTCTAGGCCAACCTGCGCATTCACAAGAAGAAGTATTTTATATATCAATAGCCCTTCGTACCGGGTCACTTCAGCAGCCCCGGATCTACGATATTTTGGAACCAGGGCAGAAACTTGATAGTGGCAACCTTTCTCTCCTCCGTTTGAGATAAATTGTTAAAAAAACTCGCAAATAAGTATATATATAAGAGTGGCATTTTTGGTGACCGGGAGAATATGAACCCTTTAATAAATTTGCACTTTTTATTACCTATTAGCTTAACTTTTTCATTTGTGTGACATAAGCTTACATATAGGAAATACCTATATATAACCACGACAAACAACAGACAAGCGTCTAAAAATCGCTTAGAGGATACGTTCATAAATCAACTAAGAATGTATTCAAAAACTAACTGGGAATTCGATTGAACAACGTGCGCTGGATGCTAGGCGCGTATTATGATTTTGGCGACTCTTGAGACTGCCGGCCGCCGGGACAGGTGCCCCGGCTTGCTCCCGCCTGGATCCGGAACTGCACTTCAGCCTGTTTGTAAAATGAATTTTATAAATTAACGAAGCACATTCTTAAACTTCATAAATTAATACAGATAGGTTTTGAACGGTCAAACTGACCAAAAATATTACATCAAATAACACATAATGCTCGGAGTGGCACTGCCACTGTTGTGGACAGGCGCTTTCCACCAGGCGCACTACGATGCACAACTTGTTCGTCCCGTCACTTGGTATCATAAAAAAAATACATCCAAATTGTTTGATTTCATATTTCCGTGAACGTGTCTGTCTTCATTTGGTACAATTCAGCCACATCGTAGACAAATATCCTAAAATTGAGGTCGCAGGTAGTAATGTGCCTCGAGTTACAGAGGTAAAAAATCTTGGCGTTATACTTGATGGTCAATTACGTTTTGAGAATCATGTACTGGATCAAGTTTAAAATTAGTCTTAAAATTTTATACAAAATACGTAATTATTTATGTGAGCATGTCCGTATTACAATTTGCGAATCACTGATCCTTTCCAAACGTAATTATGGGGATATCGTTAACTGTCCTCGTTTGTTGAGTAAAATCCAACACCTGATTCAACGTGTACAAAAACATCAAAACAACAAAAGTGTGCTTGTTGTCGATTTTGTTAAAAAATCCTACCTCGCAGCCATATCTTAACAACATCATATTTTAACAACGCAAACATGTTAAACATTGACTAGCGAAGACAATTAATTACATCTCGCGTGTATGTTATTTGGCGTGATAAAGTCCAAAAATCCGGAATACTTGTATGGAAAGTTAAAGTTCTCCACTTTTCACGACAAATTTCCCACTCGAACCGTGAGATCTCTGTTGGCGGGACAAATTCATCGCACCGTGGCCTTTATTGGAAGCTTCCACTATCAAGCTGCAAAGTGTTAGAATAATATTCCACCCCCGCTTAGACTCCTTAGATCTAAGTTTAGGTACACTTTTAAAAAACATTTGAAGAAATTTATTTTTGATAGACAAAAACTAGGTATTCCTAAACGGTTTGCATAGCGGAGGCTTCTAAAATAAAATCCCTTTATATCAGACATTTATTGTAATTTTTATGTTACAATGACCTTCATCGCTATTAAGTATTGATTGTTATTATATTTTAATTATAATCTTAATTATGAATTTGTATTACAATTTTAATTTTTTAATTTTTTCTGAAATTTTTTACAGTTGCTAAATATTGAATATTTTTTATTTTTATAATCTTCATAAGACTCACGTCGATACTAACACATATGCACACTAAATTTACTTCACAATGTTTTTGCTTTTGCTGCACCGCAACGCGCTACTCTCGACAGTGGTGGCTGAAAATCAGTGTTTTGCTTTCGGGCAAATTTGCACTGAGCCACGACCTATTTGGCTTGCTGCAGCACACACAACCATTCATTCAGATGAATGGTTGTCAAAATATGAATAGATATTGACTTCAGAGTCAATGTCCGCATCCTACTTAACTTAAGTTACACTATATATTAAAAACGGAAGTAAATGGCAACTTCCGTTTCAATATGTAGTGTAACTTAAAATAATTTTAATAAGGTTGGTTCTTTGCTAGATTTACAAATATTTTCAATAAGTACCTTGAACGTATAAAGATAATTGATTACTTTCCATTCCTAATTTTTGTGCATTCCTCTATTCCCACTAGTTAGGTTGACTGAACTAATTAATTTTGTTTTCTCGTTCAGTTGAAAATAAAACAAACATTTTTCTCATTTGTTCAGTTGAAAATAAAACAAGCTAGTTTGATAATTCGGTTTAGTTTGATGCTAACTGTATCTTCTTGATTCACAGAAGTAAGGCACCAAGATGCGATAATCGATCATGTTCAAAATATAATATTGAATACGGGAATACCGACAGATAGTGAAACTCATTACGAACTGCCTGATGTTCCACTTACGAGCAGAACTAGATTAACGTCAAGATCAAAGACTGGAAAAGATGATAAAGAAAAATTAAAGAAATCAAATCCTCCAAATAAATTCGAGTTAATTTTGAGTGGGGATACTGTATTAGCTGGTAATATGATAAAGATAGCTTAAATGTTATTGTTAAAGAAGTTAACGACGCTGAATGCAAATGAAAGCGAAAGCGGTCCGCTATATGAAGAAATCCACGTACGATCCACGATCCGAATGGCATAGTTTAGATGTTCAAGAAAACAAGATTAACGGATTTAAAAATTTTACTGCGATGTTTACGAACATATCACACATACCCATGATCTTCTGTACGTTTAATAGTTTGTGTAACAATTGTCAATAGAGCTCGTATTTACAGGTGCAGGTAGGGTAGTCGCTTTTGAGTCATGCGGAAGTCGGCCAGATGATCTTGGAGAAGTCGTAGTATTGCTTAGCAGTATTAATTTACCCGCACGTGATGATTTGCCCGTCATTTTCGTGAATATTGATACTTTGTTCGATGTGCCGTTGGAAGCAATGACCAAGCTCAGGTAATTTTGTACTTTGAGTTCAAGGTAGTAGACCCCAGATCTATTTAAAGAGTTAGAGAGTGCTTATATGTGCTAACATTGTTACATAAATTCATAGTTTTATATTAAATGAGTATCTAAGATTGTATCATAAGCGAGTGAGACTAAAACGAAAAACATGAAAATGATACAATGCATAAAGTTGCTAAGCAATGTGATTTATTTATGAAAAAGTAATTTGAAAAATTAAGAAAATTAGACAATATAACTTATAATTTACAGGATTATAAGTTTGTATACAAGATGGATATTAAAAGATAACGTTCACGATTCTGAGCGTCGATTACTAAATAAAGGGATGGACCAGCATCTCACATGTGGTAGTATAAACTTCAATGACCATCATGCTGTGCCTTTGCCACCGGAGTTGGTTACCGAAATTACTTCAACATTTTTAGAAGAACCTTATAAAATACAGGTAAGTAATTTTTTAAACATTGATGTGCATTTAAGATAAAGTGTAGTATTTCATTTAATGAAGCTTATACAACTCTAGCTCCGTGGAACAAAATATCCCTCTGCAATAACCAAAAAGCCCCAATTTTTTGGATACGCCCCTAATGACAGAGAGATCAGTACTTCTGTGCCAACAAGTTTTGAATTTACAGAAGAGCTAGATTTTCTAATAGCTACAACAAATATTGACGCAAAACAGTTAGCTAGAGGTTATAATACCGTCGTGCGAGGGGAGTATTCGTTAAACCCATTGACAGTATCAGTAGTAGAATTGAATCGGCAGAGATTCTGTACTAATGACATTAATGCCATAAGAGCCTCAGTGAGACCAAATATAGTGGTACCTGCACATGTAATTTTGGAAGCACATATGACATTGGAGGTGTCAATAGGTATAGTTGGTTGCAAACCCTGCAGACCAATAAATTGCTTCTCAAGATTATACGCTATTTTACATAATGTAAATGACGCCATGGCACTTGTGACAAAAATAACACAGATAAATGAAGAAACAACAGTGATAAGAAGTAACGAATTGCTAACGGGCTTTGCCGTTGACACTGGAAGTGCTTGTTTATTGTATGTAGAAGGTCTAAGAGATGGAAACATATTAATAATTTGGCAAATGACTGAAGATTTTTATCCCCGAGTTAAACCTCTTTATTCTAGTTCTGCACGATATTTCTCAAGGATCTACGCAGGTAAATGCTTAGGTGTTTAACACGCCTTTCATGTATTACCCAAGTTTCCTTTTTTAGTGGTTTCTTTTTGTTCCATAGATTTAATAGAAATCGCCATACCATTTGTGGTGTTGAAAATGCACGCAAATATGGGCGTTATACTTGCGTGTCCATCCGTGTACGTACGTCCGGCGCTACCGTTGCCAGCTAGATCGGTTAGAATCTTTTTAGAATTTTGTTACGTTTAACTTTTTTGGAATTAATTCAGGAATAATAATATATCGAGCATCTTATAAACAAGATGTTTGATATTGAATGACTGCAAATTGGTTTTATTTTTCGCAGGCACTGTTAAAGATAAATCGTATATTGGCTGGCAGATTATTACATCAACCACCACGCTCCTTAATGCCAACTAGTAACGAGCTAAATAGCTTTCGTCTAGAGATGTGTACCCCACCTCGTCCTACAATTGTAAAGAAACGTAAGATTAAGATATATCTAGAACATTTTCTTCGGGATCTGTTTCGGGACATTATCTTACGTTATGTTTGGAAGACAATCTATTGTTAACAATCTAATGTTATTGTTTCAACAAAAATTGACAATCTAATGTTATATATGCTATTGCAATATTAAGTTTATTGAATATTACGACGTTTTTCGTTCGATTCAATTATTTTTGTGAAATTACTCCACTATAGGCCTACCGCTTAACGGAGTCGGTGTCTGAGGTGAGGAGTGACAGTTTGTCGTGCTACACACGGGATAATTTCAACAGGATTTTTTTGACGATATTCGATAGCAAGTTCATTGAAAAAAGTGCCTCCCAAATTAGTTAATATTGTTGTTATGTGAGACAATAATATAAAATTTAACTATTTAATTGATAATTGAAAGGGAAAGCCATTTGGCACTTTTTTCAATCAACTTGTTATTGAATATCGTCAGAAAAATCTTGTTGAAAGTATCCCGTGTGCAGCGCGACATAATTGTACGTAAACTATCGCTCCTCCCGCACCACGCAGCAACCTCAGGAACCGACTCCGTTAAGTTTGTTATAATTGACAACATTTCATTTTTTTAACCACGGGTTTTTATTGTTTCTATTGAAAATAAGTACAAAAGTAAAGGACACGTATTTTTTATTTTGTCTAATTTTTAATTCTATTTTTGAAAAAATGCTTGTTCTGAAACGTCGCACACCTGAAGGGTTCATAGAAGTGTCTGTCGTAGTCAATGGTCTTTAAAAAAAATTTGTAACAGACATCATATTGATTGATTGACCCAGATTGATCGTTGATTTTTGTGTGTGGAGAAAAATCGCCTAACCTGGCACCACTGATTATCAGTCAGCCGTTGACGTACGCACGTTCAAAAATAAATTAAAATAAACAATAAAACAGCAAAGGAATTTACTGTTCGAAATCCTTTGTCAGTAATTTTTGGTTACTTTTAGTTTATTTGTAAACATCACATAATTTAGTGAATACTAAATGCTGAAAAAAATCGTGGAAAGGCAACCAAATCTCTAAACCATTATCAATTTGAAATGTTGTCAATTATTAATAGACAGATCGAACATTAAGAAAAATTTCTTCGATCCGGCTCGACCCGGACTTCGCCATACCGTGGCTGACGTTCTGAGTGAACTTTCATAGCTTTCTCACAGAAGGCGCTACTGCATAAAAGTCGTTAAAACGAAATACAAAGATCTGCAACAAGTACATATAGAAATTTGCAAGGTCTGCTGGTTCGTTTCTTAGCTCAGCTGGGAGAGCGTCAGCCATGGTAAGGCGAGGTCGCTGGTTCGACTCCAGCCGGATCGAAGGAGTATTTTAGTGTTCGACCTTTGTATTAAATAATATTATTTCGATCAGGTACACTCCAATAGGGTTAATTTACTATAGCTCCTCATTTTTTGATATTAAATTTAATGTTTGCAGTTCAGAAAGGTCTAGATATATCTGGTTTTATATATACCTTTTCAGAACAGTTACTAAAATCTGATGAGATTGGAAAAAATCCCCGTACGTCGTTATCACGAATCAATTGGGAGAAAAATTGAATTACAATAATTATATAAAGGAAAGGAGGTTGCAGAAGTTTTGTATGATTTCGTTGTATTTATTTACTGTTTCTTATTATATTTACCTCCGTTCCTGATCATATTGTTTTCATCTTTTTTTGTATATAACATCAAGTGACTGGACGAACAAGTCGTGCGCCTGATGGTAAGCTACACATGTCCATGACAGTTACAGTGCCACACAGAGCTTTAAATTGCAAATATCTGAGGGGCATTGCCACTGCACCCGTCACCCTGAGACATAAGTTGACAAATGTAAAATAAATGATCGACAAGAATTATAGTATCATAATACTTTTAAGTTTACCTCCGTCGCTTTCACAATCACGCCGATTACTAAAAGCTGTAGTGGGTAGGTATTTCCGTAGCAGTAGAGCTCCTTGTGAAAGAGTTCGTCCAGGGAAGTACTCACACAGCCTTATTTATTTCCTTAACTTCCTCACCTAACCTTATCTGTACCTATTTCTGCCGCTAAGCAGTAATGTGAGTGTTATTACTATCCGGTATTTAAGGGTGCCTGTGAAATTACAAGCACATGCGACTTGTCAACTTATGTCTTAGGGCACGTTTATTCGACATGATTTTCGTCGCGCTCACGCCGCGCGGCCGTAACGCAGCGACCGCGTGCATCAAACTGTACGTGAAAGCGTGGTAACCGCGCCAAAACTTTCGCGTCGAGTAACTGTTGCTCAGGCGATGGGAGCAGTGGCAGTGCCCTTCAGATCTTGCTTGTCGCTTACCACAGCCTGATGGCACCATTTTTTCGTCTCGACACTTGGTATCATAGAAAATACACCGCGCTAGCCAAGTGCAGATTGAGGACCTCACACATTTCCCAGTCTTGTGAACCTTCGATATGCAGGATTAGATTTTCAGAAGTGCCACTACAATTGCTATGAACAGGCGTGTCGCTTACCGCCTTGCGCGTACGACTTGTTCGTCCCGTCACTTAGTGTTATACATAAAAAGATCACCCGACAAAAAGGTACATGCACTACGCGTTAAAATCCCGTTTCATAATATTAGTCATATAGTATCAGAAGCCTATTCACGTAGATCCGAAAAGTTGATTCGGCTGACTTCATCGTAATACGATATACGACACGGGTTCATGTAGGACATTTTGTCAGAGGGATCCCTGTTCATTGTTTCCGATTTTCCGCTATTCGCCTACGGAATAATAATAAACCCCTTAGAGTAATCTTCGGTCCAGTGCTCACGTACATTTGTCTATGCTAAACCAAGGCTTTTTGTCACGGCAGTCGCGAAATTTCGTCCAGTTTTAGGATCAGATAAGGCATGGACACTGATAAATGATGGAACTGAACGGCTGAAAGCGGCGCCCGTGCGTTCGCGTTCCCTTCCAGCCTACTCTATAAATCTACTTCGAAAAACTCAAATTAATCTTGATAAAGGATGTTTGGTTGTCAGTTTAGGAATTTTGACTGTCTTTCGATTGAACAAAAATCGCGAATGATCTGGAATTACCCATATCGACCCTACACCCGAGACACAAGAGGAGAATAAGAAGTGCCAGGAAAACCTTGTACTATTTAAAAAGCAATTAAAAAAAATCAATTGAGTTATAAACATGTACTATACTGTGTCCTCGTGGAAAAAATCTCGTGGTTGAAGAATCTGAGAGACTGGTTTCACTTTAGCACACAATTTCATATTTCGTGCGGCAGCTTAAAAAATGAGAATACCCATGATGGTCGCCAACCTTCGTAGAGAAGTGTCGCACTAAGAAGAAGATACTGTTTCCGAATTTTTAAATGATACATCCCTAAATTCATTGTCTAATTTTTGGCATTTGACATTATTCATATTATTTATTATTATTTTGACATCTAGTTACCATTTGAATCTCCATCCTCTGCGATTTGAATTGACCCATGTGAATTCACCGCGTTTAAATTACTGATTGACTTTTTAAATCCAAGTGTTACATGCTACACATGGCTTAGTCTGTCGAAGAGCATGTATAATATTACAATACATTCACATGTATAATATTCAATATTTGTATACTTATTCAATATTTGTATACTTAATGTTTCGCCGGACACAGTGAAACTTGTGTTTTCATAAATAAATGAATTATGATTATTACTAAAGAGGATAACTTATTATTATTATTATCAAATCAAATTCAAAATCAAATTACTTTTGTTGTTACCACCGTGAAGCCCGAACCTAGGTCATTCCCGTCTGCATATGTTAAAATGTGTCTAAAACATTTATTACTCGATTGGTTAAATTTCTTTATTGCCGATTTTAAATTTCTTTATAGTTCGAGTTTGGTGTTAATCCGAGTAGTAATCGTTTTGGTTTTTCGGAGTGATTAGATCGTTCAGTGAATAAGTACGAAATTCCTTAAATGTGTATAACTAAAGTGTAAAAATTTATTTTAAGTACCTATTTTTTTATTAAAGAATTAATAATTATTACGAAATGCCTTCCTAAATTATTGAATTTGAACTATAATGGTGCTGGGCTTTCACAACTAAACTGGGACATTTTATTGAAAACTTCGGTGGGAGTATTTAGGAAAACTCTAATGGAAAGACGATGTCTAAATTTAATTAAATTTGGGAAGTTTTTGATTAGAAATAAATTGATATTTCAAAATGTCTTAGACTGTTACAAAAAGTTCAACTGCTAATTGTACTTATGGTACTTTCAATACTTATAATTTATTGCTGCCAGCCTTAAAAAGTCATTCAACAATTAAGAGAGATTATTATGAGTTCCGTATTGTAGAGGACGGAAAGAAAAGGACTTACAGTTAAAATAATTACAGCCTTACAACCTTTAGAAAAATGAAAAAAATAAATAAAAATGATATTACAATTCAACGCTAAAATACACTAATTAATATCATTTTAAATGGTTTACAATAAAAGAAAATATATTTGTTTACATTTGCAAAATTGTGTTGGTATTTTATAATATACTTTTATGTCATTAGAGGAGTGTAGTACTCGAATAAGAAAAAAACTTCGCAGAAAAACACACTCAAATTTGAGAAAATATCTTTTGATGAATGGGGAACATAGTGTTTCTTTAAGATACGTTACTTAAAAGGAATTAATCCTAATAATGGACCCTACCGATTGGCATCATAAAAATACAGGTGTATTTATTGGCGAGTGACTTTTAATAAAAATCTATGTATGGATGCATTTAAAAATAAAATTATGTCTCCAGTATCTAATATTTCTGTACAAGGTTTAAAGTACTTTCCCTGCGTGTCGCATAGCCGTCGGACACCCAGCATATTAAAATATGTACATAGTTCTATTATTTGACGCATATTTCATATTTAATGGAATATTTTTCATAGGTGTTGCTTCAACCATATTGCACTATTTTCTGACCAAGACAGAATGATTTAAAGGCAAGAAAATGCATATATAGTTCAAGGTAAAAATACTCATACGTCGTCGCAAGATTTTTAAATTATTCAAGCAAAATAACCGTAAATAAATAACTTACAAAGTAATTCCGTTATGGGATGCAGCAAAAAGGCGTACCTACATGGTTTACAAAAACCAGTTTTTGTAATCTGACACAATAAATCAAGGGCGATGATACGTTTGGATATTAAAAAAGTGACTAAAGACAGCTAAAATTAAAAAAATAATAATATATAATTAAAAAATAATAATAATTAAATTAGTTTTTTATTATACGTTTTAGCCTTTCATCTACTCGATTTTAAAATAGAGTACAATAATTAGTTTATTAATTTTCAGTACCTGCATTTTTTTTTTATTTTGCTATAGAAATAAGTAAATAAATCCCAGCCTTTTACGTCCATCTCACATGGAGTATGCACAACTAATTAATACTTATTCACTCTCATAAGCTTAGAAAAAAATCAAATTATAGCGTTCAGGAAAAAAATGTACGGACAGCAAAAACCACTCTATTGCCGTTCGCCATAAGAACGTCTAGTCCCCAATGATACAAATGGGAAGGTGGAATCATTTAATGTAATTCCGTCACACACTCTCTGTGTGACGGAGCCGTTACGGCGGTGTTCCAATCTCTGTACTTCTAAGTACATCTAAGTCACCGATAAGCCTCTTAGGACTTTTTTCAATGACATTCATGTGGTGGTGGTGTATCTTTCTACATACGTTTTGTTTATAGTGGACTCTCCCTATCAATCTCTTGATTATACGGGAAGGGCACTATAACCTGTGCAATTACAAGGATCCTATAAGTTCAGGTTCTGACTTCAGATGAGCCCGTGGACAGAGTTGTCACAGACCGTTGTCACGGATTTCATCCGGTTCTCAAAAGGCCAGTACCTCCGGTGAGCGGCTCCGGCTGCACGTACAGCTCCCTCCTTATTTTCCAGATAGGTACTGAACTACTACTATTGGCACGCTCACTTCCTGTTGTGCATTGGACAACTAACTCAAGTACCAACATGAGGGAAAAGTGGTGTTGGAAATTTTGCGGCTTGCATTTGGGTAGAGAATATCTCCTGAAGAAGCTCTCCAGTGTAGTCCGCTCATTTGCACTGACGCTAACACTGCGACATCTGAATGACTCCGCGAATTCGCGATGGAGTTAAACGCCAAAAAAGTACTTCAGTTAATGTGAAACATAAATCTATTGGTTCTGAATAAATTGCTTATTTCAATGATGTGTGAATGTATATAACTGAATATCGCACAAAGTGTTGTTAGAATCAATTCGTATTTTAACCATCGATGTATGATTCGTTTAAAAGAGTCCCCAAAAACCCTTGCATACGTCGGCGTAAAGGCTGTACATTCCAAATACTTCAACCTTAATTCCAAAAACTATTATAGTACAGACGGTAGTATATCAACATACACATTGATGGATCTACTTACGTTACTGGCAGTGAAAGCGATGTTCAAACAAAAGCATAGCATAGTTTGATGAGCCATTGTTTTTACATAGATATCATAGGTACATTCCAATTTATCCTTGCTTTGACCCTATCAAACCAGCCCGCTTTCTATTCTATTCTATGGCGG